ACTGTTCCTATTCAATTTACACATTATATTAAACACATTCTTGGATTTTTTTTTACTTTAAAAGCTTTGTCTGTTGATCAAAAATTCAAGGTTATAAAAGAAGTGGAAAGTGGCTCAAAAAATAAAGATGTAGCTGCGAAGTATGGGATTTCGGCAAGTACAGTGTCTACAGTTTTGAAAAATAAACATTCAGTCATCACCGCAATGGAACGTTTCGAAGAAAACAAAAACAATAACATTACACTAATGGATTGTGTTGACGACGTAACTACCGCATGGAATATTGACGTTAATCCTGAAACAATTTCCAATTGTTTTAAAAAAGCCGGTTTTGGTCAGTATTCTGAATGGGAAGAAGAAGATGAGATTCCCTTGATTTTCCTAAGTGAACGCCTGAAAGAAAAGAGTGAAGACCAAATCCAAATAGAAATCGAGTTTAAAGCTTGGACACACATTAGAGGTAAAGCAGAAGGTAGCACCATCAACTATTTTATACGTGTGGATGAGGATATTGTTACTTCAGAGTTTTGCTACTGATGAAGATATTATCGAGTGCTGCAGATCCGAACCGGTAAAGTTAAACATCGAAGATGACTGCGAAAGTGACACGATGGAGGAGGAATTGGAAGATGATTCTCAGCAATCACCTTCAAATGAATTGGTTAAAAATTCGTTGATTGTCTTGCGTTCCTATTTGAAAACCAGTGAACATACAACCGATTCCCTCTATGATTGTTTAAATAAAATTGAAGCTTTTGTTGAAAACCAGAATAAGAAATTCGGTCGTCAGTCACAAACAACTGACTTTTTTCCAATGAAAGAGTAAACTTTAATATGTACATACATACATACATACATATGTACTGCTATTTCATAATTTTCGTTTTTTGTTCATTTTTAAAAATGAATGAATAAATTTAATGTTCATTCACAAAAAAGTACATGCATTTGTAGTTTTTATTGATAACTCGATAACTCGAAATTTTCATGTGTCAAATCGCAGGTCGACTTATCAAAGTTCGACTGTATATTAAATACATCACAAATGAGGTAGCCTAATATAGTAAGAGGAAGAAATAATTTCCAATCTAACATTCAGTTCAATAGTAGTGGCAGTCGTCGCTCTGTATATCTTTTATTTGAAGATATTTTTATCATGAAAGACAATTCCTGAAAAAACAGATTTTAATAAGTTCTTCACTTGTATCTTTATGGTAGTCCACGTGTATTCTATAGATAAAGTTAAAGGGTATGTGGAACGCAACCCTGAATGTACAGGCTTTCCTAAAGGTGTGTCCATACTCAACTTGAATTACTTTTAAGAAAAACACCTCATATCAACATATGTCCTGAACGTTTTAACTTTCGAGATACTTCGTCTCCAAGTGCCTATCCGTGCCGGATGTTGGCGTTCAGCATGGCTATTTTTACATTGTCGATGTCGATGTCGAATTGTTAAACCACGATCTAAGGTTTGCTAACCGAGAACCCGGTGCTCCCCTGCTCTCTGCTATCTAGGTTCCTCGTTATTTGACCGAGATTTATATTCATACGTCGCAATACTTCTATGCTGGTAAGTTTTTGTGTCCAAGCTATTTTTAATATTCTGCTGTACAGCCATAGTTCGAATGTTTCCAGTCTCTTGGTGGTTTCTTTAGTGAGTTTCTACGTTTCTAACTATTCATAAGGACAATGTTTATTTGACTCTCATTGAACGTGGTGTCAGCAAGCAAGCATCTTTAGAAGAAACAGCCACATTGACGAAAATTCCAACATCAACTGTATGGAAAATTGTGAATAATCCCATTTCAGCGAGGAAAAAAAGAAGCGATGCTGACATTTTATCGAGTGTAGATAAAATTTACCAGTTATACGAGGAACAAGAACAAAGCGTGCCTACATTAGATATCTTAATTAGAAGGCATGAAAAAGATGAAACCGGTGTTAAATGAATACATCCCTGCCTTACCCCTCACAATATTCTTATTTGTTCAGTGTGCGTTATAATTATGTTTAAATCTTTAGGATTCACTCATTCATTTTATCGTGTTGGAGTCGGTCAAATGCTTTCTGATAGTCTATCAAGCAAGCAAACACATCACAGCTGACGTAACTGCATCTCTGAAAACGCACTTGAACACTAAATAGAGCCTCTCTTGTGCCAACGGCATTCACAAATCCAAACTGATTTGGTGCAATCTGTTCTTCACAAAGCCTACATATTCTTTTGTGTATTATCTTAAGAAATAACTTTAAGAGATGACTCATTAACCTTATTGTTCTAAAATCACCACAAGTTTTCGCACAGTGTGATGAATTCTGACTTCAACCAGTCTGCTGGAATTTCCCCTGTTGACTAGATGTTGTTAAATATTCGAGTCAACCATTTTGTTTTATCCTCATTCAGTAGTTTTATGAATTCAGGGGACACTAATCAGATCCAACGTCAGCCCCTGGATATGTTTTGAGAGATAGGCAGCATAAAGTCTATTTAGTTTCTGACTATTCTTCCAGGTTCATCCATAGGAGATTGCCACGTAAATAATTTTCTGGATGGTAGTTACTGCAAAAACTACCAGTGTGTCTCCTCTTTTGTTTCTTTCACACAGTCCATAGGGTCCCACAACATCCAATGTGCGACCCTCTCCCAATTTTGAGTTATAATCCCGTCTTTTCTACTTATGTCAACTGGACACGCTTTCATTTGAATGAATGCTATTCTCTCTGATATTGGGGTAAAGGCTTTCACATATTGAGCTACTTTATTGCTCAAGATAAGACCCACACCGTGTTCATGTCTCTCAATTGCAGTGCCTGAAAAGAGAACTCTATACTCTTCTTTCCATTTCCTTGATTGTGTTGTGGATTTTGCCTTGTTGGTTCATTGTTTTTACATTCCTGGTTGCAATTCTTAGTTCCGCTCTGGTATTTATTGTTTTAACGTCTCTGCTTGTAACTATCCCTCCCGGAGATCCGATTGAGAGACTTACTCAGGATATTGATTTACCTGCAAGCATAGCTATTTTGATTTTACTAGGACATATCCCATTAGGATCTTTAATGCGGTGGATGTCCAGAGTTCTTCCTCATCCTTATGTCGTTGACAGTATTCTACTGTTCCTCCGCCTTTGGAGCCAGTTTCCGAACTCTAGGACAAAAGAGTGCCGTTCCCAACTCGACTCGTCAACCCGAAGCGGTTGGTTGACAAGGGTTTTGAGGTTATACTGCCTCTACTCGGTGCTAGCTTCGTCATATCTGACTATCTTCACTTGGCTTGGCCTGCAGGTCGATGCAGGTGTGCGAGGTATGGCGCTTGGAGCCACAAGTGAGAATTGGAAGTCTTGTGAAGTCCAGTTACCGCCAACTAACTTCCGACAATGCCATTAGTCACGACCGTTATTGGTAAAAGGTAGTACTTTTGCAAGACTACCCCTTATACCCCATTTGAGATACAGATTGGTAAATTTTTTCAAAAAAAAAAAAACACGGTATCTTATCTGACCCAAGAAACAATTTTATATATCCTTCTAAAAATTCATACGCCTCTGGCTTTTTTTTGGTCAACACATTCTTTGGATATTCTGATCATATCTGCATAAAAGTCTTGTGTTTTTCTTGTTAGATGCACCGTTCTTGATTAAAATAACCAAATTGAAAATGTTACATTTAGCTCCGATGACCAATAACTTTCGAAGATACAAATCTATTTAGCCTAGAATAAATCACAGGTTACAAACGTAATTTTTAAATCACTATTCGTTGTGTTTCCCTTGAGTGAGCTGTATGAATACGGAAATGGCACCACCCTTCATCTTAAAAGTTAAGATTTTTAGAACATACGTTTAGAATTTTCCCTTAAATATTAGCACACGATTAAGGATCATTCTGTAAATGGTTGGTACTAAATCATCGAAACAATTGGACGATCCAACTATCTAACCATTTTAAACTATCTCTTGTCCATAAGCACTTGCCTTTTACTAACTCTAAGTTGGGAGAAAAAATTTTTTTTTTGATAAACATTTGTGCGGAGAGGATATTTGGAAATCTTGAGTCAGAATGAGGCGTTTCTAAGATTCTTCCATGTGTTTTTCTAAATTTAGTTTTGTAACTACCTTGAATGAATGCATTTTTTTTAAATTAGAATTTGCTTTTCAAAATAAAATAAATGTTTCGTATATTTTGTTTAATAATAATGATAATAATAATAATAATAATAATAATAATAATAATTATTATTATTATTATTATTATTTGCAATGTAAAATTACATTAGGCAAGGTTGAAACTTAAACTATTTTCCTAATCTAACTGAACCTAACCTTGTGCCACCCTTATAAAGTACATGAGCAAGTAGGCTTCTTAAAAAACAATTATCTGAAGACAAAAGATAAGGCTACTGAGACCTTTTAAGTTACTTGGTTGGCACTTTATTATAACAGCTGTAGAATGGGGTAACTAAATGATTCTTCTGTAAAAGGGTGGTGGTGTTTGTTGTGGCATGTTTATTAATAGCGTGGACTTTTGGAAGAGATTGCTTTATTATAAAGAGTTTCACTATTACAAAGTCTTTTTTCTCTAGTCTTCCTTATTTCTATAATATTAGTAATTAGTTCAAATTTTGCATTATCGCTCAGTTCATGTCGCACTAAATAAATATATTGTTTAAATAAACCGTAGATAGTCCCTGAAGAATTTTCCTCTCTACACGCGAGCGGCGACTTGGCCGGGATAGCCTGTTAGACAAAAAGTATACGCAAAAGGGAGGGGAGGGACTAACTCGGTTTATTAGGGGAACCGTCGTTTGAAAATGAACATAACTTCCGTTCGACTGAACTTTTGCTGTCCAATCTAAACTGGTAATTGTGTTAGCGGTAAATTTGAAGTCGGAAAACGACATCGCTGAAAACAGAAAATAAGGGAAACATTATATCGAACGTCTCGGTGACCTTTCTTTTTTTTTCTCGGCTAGTTTGGGTAAATTGTTATTTTTGTTTCAGCCGATTTGATGCACGAAAACACGTCGGACGGTAATTCCGAACACAATTCATCGGGCGACGAAGATTCCCAGCTGAGACTGAGACTGAAACGAAAACTTCAAAGGAACCGGACCTCGTTTACCAACGAGCAAATCGACAGCTTGGAAAAAGGTAAACTATTTTAACGGTCGCAAAGAGTTTTGCAATATCGTCCGTGTAGACTTTGAACTAGATGTCGCTGACGTTTCCTCCAACTACAGCGAAGATATATTTTCTAGATCTTTCATAGGTCAGGCTTTAACTAGACGTGCTTTTGCAGTATATTTCGAACGACTACAAGTTGTAGATTCACATTTTCTGGGTCTTTAATAAGTCAAGTATACGTTAGATTTTTTCTGTATTCTACATACCTACTACCGCTTCTACTTGATTTAAATGTTTACACAGTGAGCTACAAAAAACGCACGTTGGTTGTTCTTAAATTGAACATGCTGACGTTTCGCCAATCATCCTAGTGGCTTCTTCCGAACTTAACTGAAACTGGCTCGCATTCCACTCCCTATCTGCTTATATATTGTTTGAGAGGGGCGGAGCTAAAGCAGGAGCGTGAACTGATTATCATATTGGTGAAAGTTGGTGAGTCGCGGATAAGATTGGTTACTTATGGAATTCTATAGATTCTCTTTCGGACTTATTGTCTTTGGAAGGTTATGGTGAAGTGTATTTTGTCAAGAAATATTGGAGAGAGCGAACGAAAAATATCAACTAGACTCAAAAAACATGAAAGGGCCTTAAAACTATGACAAATAAACTTATCAGCGGTTCCCGGTGCCGGTGTTTTAGCTCTGCCCCGCTCAAACAATATTTATAGAGTAGAATGTGAGCCAGTTTTCTGTTAAGTACAAGTATTTGTTTAATTTTCAGAATTCGAACGGACGCACTATCCAGATGTTTTCGCCAGGGAACGATTAGCGGAGAAAATTGGATTGCCTGAGGCACGTATCCAGGTAACAATTTTTTTCAAACAAATTCGTAGGAAGGAAGTTTTTATTGCGCCGCCAGTGTCCGATCGAGACGCTCGTGATTCTTGCACCCCTATTTACTTCGGGCGCCCCCGTTTGGTTTGCTTAAGGGGATTTCCGCAACAATGCCAAAGCAAACACAAATATAATAATTTGTTCGGCTTTCAATATGGTGTTTGGGTACTCGAATTAATATTAGCCGACCCTGTTACGTTTGTTAAGCTATACGATTTGGAGGGGTTAAAGATGTCAGGGTTGATAATCTTGATGCCACCCACCCACTCACGAAGACGACGAGAAGAGTGGCATCCCATCGAGCTGAGAGGGCTGCTGCAACAATTATGTTTGATATAGTTCCAGGAAAGGCGATTTTGGTGCTTGGTGGCTTAAGCAGCTCTTGGCGTTGGCGCCTCAATAGACGATCATGGTGTAATGATGGGAGGTTATAGTTACCCTTTGAAATTTACACGTGTGCGGATGTGGAATGTTTTTTTATTAAATGGCACTAAACTTTATATAAATTCTCTCCTCGGATAACAATATTTTGTCAGATTTTAATGATTGATATCATTAAATACACTCGACGTTCATTATCTAACAAAATAGGTATTTTAAAATATTTAACTACCGGGGGACCTCTACGCAATACATGATATTATACATATATTATACATGATATTATCAATACGTGATATTATCAAATTTTAAACTTATAGTGCAATTGCATCTAGTGAATGCAAAAAATGTTTTGAATAAAGTGATCAAAACTCGCAGGAAAGGCCACGAGAGAAGTAAAGCAAAATAAAATAAAAATTAAATAGGGAAAATGTCTACAATCTATGAACACCAGTACTATGCTTAATGTTTTACTGTTTTTTGACAATTTTCTAACTTTGCAATACTTTATTTTGCTTTTGAATCCAGTTATTTATTGCATTTTGTTGTGATTGTTCCCCAAAACAGATGCAAATAATAAGATAAAAGGGCGTATTATTTTACCAAAACTAAAAATAGGAAACAAATATCTACCTATACACTTCTAGTAAAATATTCTGAAAATGGCGGGGGTACATCCGGATATACCGGAAGTGAGTATTGACTTTCTTATTTTAAATGGAACACCGCATATATTTTTATACATACTTTTTTTTTTCATGTATAATATACTGTACCTGAATTTCACTTGTTTTGTGAGACATTTAAACAAGTAAAAATTGACATTGGCAGACCCAACAATATAATATATAATATTAACTTACCCGGTTTAACAAATTACAATAAAATTTAAAAAAACTGACGAAAATAATTTTTTTCACCCATTAAAAATTGGGATTACTTTGTATTGGCTTGTATATTCCGAATTTGTATAATTTTGGAGATTTTTTTTCGGATATAAAATATATTAATTAATATATCGCTGAAATAATTATACACACCAATATTATTGAAATTTGATTATTATTTATGGAGAATGCCTCAATGTTTTGACCAGAACATGCGATACCTCTGCGATTCGTTATCTCCAAAAACAGAAGCACTCGCCATGCAATTAAGAAAATCTGAGTTTACGGCCCATTTTCAATTTATTTAATTGTTAATTTTGCAACATCATAAATTGATCCAACAGACGATTTACTACAGGCTAAGGAAATGTATGGGAGAAATTTACATTTCTAGTTTTCCTATAACGGATCAACGAAGTTTCCTGTGGGACAGTTTTGTCATAAAATTAGAATTTTTCAATTAAATTGTTTTTAAGTTGTAAGTAGGTAAGTTTTACACCTTTAAACATGAAATTGGTGGTCGAGATCTGGCATTAATATGGTCGAAAATATCGTGGTGTTTATGTTATGTTACAATTTTACGAAAAGAAAATTATTTAGGTCCACTGTTTTCCGCTAAATTCAAGTTATATTCTTTACCTTACGGTGAATAAGACCTACCGGAACTCCATCTAGATCCAGAACTTAAACTATCATAAATGTAGGGACAGAAATTAACACACGTCGCTGTTGGCGTACCTTCTTTTTAGCCGTCCAGAATGGATAACATACTAAGACACGTTTTTAATTCGCTTTGTTGCATTCAATCCATTAAGACCGAACCAAAAGCGAAAGATCTTTCCACCTTCTCCCGACCGGCGACATAATCACGGCCGCATTTTCCAACTAGCGATGTTTATGTACATACAAAGGCGCGGGTATTTTGCTGAGCTTTTGAGTAAATGAAAACCATGCTTGTAATTTAGATAAAGTACCCCGCGACGGTGTGCATTTCCAGTCCCCGGTTTTCGCCATTCATTTTGCATTACTTATCCAAATTGCAACTTTTGAAAGGGACGCGGCGAGCTTTTGCGGAGATAAAAATTTCTCTGGTCGTTTGGGAAGTGGAATTCGGTAGTTTTTGCCCCACTTTTTTTAACGAGAAGATGGGATTATTATGCCCCTAATAAAACATGGATCCGGAAGTCTATTTGAAAACACTTTTATTGCTGCATCAATAACAAGTATGCATGGAAATGATCTTTTTTTATATACAAAGACAGCTGTAATGTCACACAATCAATTTTTGTAATCTCAATTGAACAACAGTTAAAAGATAAGAAGGTATGGCTTGTTTAGACCAATATATTCAATGAAATTGAAACTATACCATCGTTTCGGAAGTAGATGTGGACCATGTTCAGTCCTGAAGATAAAAACAATTAGCCACTACCTAAAACATTATTACAATGATTTTTATTAGTATATCTCATTAATTAGGTTAAGAAGACTCTTGCAGTTTTATAAAAATACTATTAAAAAATTAAAAACTTTAAAGTCAGATAAATTTAAGAAAAAAAAATAAACAAAAAAACTACGAAAAAACAACTATTTTATGTCCACTTTTGGTTACCTTTTCAATTGCATTTTGTTATGATTGTTTTCCCAAAACAGATGCAAATAATAAAATAAAACTGGGTATTATTTTACCAAAACTAAAAGTAGGAAATAAATATCTACCTATACAGGGTGTGAAAACTGTAAAAAGCAACAATTCGGAAATTTGGAATTGAACTAACGTTGCTGGTGGCACTTCTAGTAAAATATTCTTAAAATGGTGGGGGTACATCCGAATATACCGGAAGTGAGTATTGACTTTCTTATTTTAAATGGAACACAGCATATATTTTTATATATACTTTTTTTTTCATGTATAATATACTATACCTAAGTTTCACTGTTTCTGAGACATTTAAACATGTAAAAAATGACATTGGCAGACGCAACAATATAATATATAATATTAACTTATCCGGTTGAACAAATGTTCACTATACCATCGTTTCGGAAGTAGATGTGAACCATGTTCAGTCCTGAAGATAAAAACAATTAGTCACTAACCAAAACATTATTACAACCATTTTCATTAATATATCGCATTAATTTGGTTAGTTAGAAGACCCTTATAGTTTTATAAAAATACCATTAAAAAATTAAAAACATTAAAGTCAAATAAATTTAAGCAAAAGGAACTACGAAAAAACACACCAAATGAGACCCTACTTCAAATGGTTCCTAATATTTTATTGGTTTTATTTTGCATTTCTTTTTTTACTTAAATTGTTAATTATCATAGAATTTTTAAAAATATTTGTTCGATAATTGAATTCTTTGTACTGAATCTCTTCGTATCAAACAAACATTTATCTAAATAAATACATATTCTATTTTAATATGATTTTTGAAATGTCGCAAGTATTATTTAAGGGAAGGACATGTTTATTGGCTTTAAAGAATTGTTTGTTTCTTAAAAATATATAATTTGTTTGATTCAATAAAATAATGTATTAATACTAACTAACAAAATACTGTATAATTTTATTTTAATAACTGCTGTTATTTGGATTGAACACATTGGGTTTACTGCAAGTTTTTTTCATTTTAGTTGTATATCTAAGCTTTATAGTTTTCAAATGCGCAATGATAGTAATCTGATGATAAAACATGTTAATAACATTTATAAAAAGTACATTAGATTAATTTGCAATATTTTATGAAGTAAGTGTGTTCATTTGATATTCAAATTTAAGCGTTCCTAAATTGAACTTTAGGGAATGATAAGTGCAATTTTGAAAAAATCCTCGCAAATTCTTAATAAATAAATTTTCATTAATAAGTTGAAACTTGAACAAAATTTTTCAAAATAATAAAAAATGTAATACGTATAGATCTTAAAGCCCATTTTTTAAGTACGGTGCTCATCTTCTCTAGAATGCTTCTTATTAAGAAAATGCAACGTTATTATTATTATTATTATTATTATTATTATTATTATTATTATTATTATTATTATTATTAGGTAGTCATCGCTACATCGTTTAAGGGAAATTCTGTTACCAATTGATTTGTTAAGTCATAAGTTTTCGCTTTTCTCAAATAAGTTTGTTTGTATAAATTATTATACTTCTGCTTTAAAATAAAAATACTAACAGCTAATAATAATCAAGAAGTTTAATCTGAATATAAACAATATAAGTTGGTCTGGTCTCGGTTCTGAAAATGTATTTTTTTATTGTGCGTGCATATTTATTTGAATGAAATACTATGAATTTAGATCAAGTAATTTTTATTTGAATAGTATGAACCGGCAGGTGGAGAGCTTCTATTTGCAGGAAAAAGGAATACGGCAAAACGCTATATTTAGCCGAGAAACTAGAAGCTAACATGGAAATTTAAGGTGTAAAATTGAATTACTAGCTAGATCTCATAATATCGATCTGCATGCAACTACTACATAATTCACGTTATATTTATATGACTATGTACCAATCAAAAGTTTTAAGTTTTATACCCTTACCTTACCCTAAAATATACACCACATTTAATCACAATTATTTCCATTTCCATAATAATTGTTACGAGTTCTAAATAAATGTTTCTTTGGGTATCTTTTTCTGTTTTTTTTTTTCAGTGCGTCGATTAGTGTTGGGGTTAATCAACTAACCACTTCTTAATCGCCTAGTCAAATTCGATCAAAATATTTTAAATAACATCTTGCATTTGTGATGTCCAATTTACAAACACGCAGAAAAAAATGCGTTTAAAATTCACAAGAAATCACCTTTTAATAAATCAACTCTTTTCTACAATTTAACAAATCAAAATAATAATAATAAATAATAATAATAATAATAGATTAGGTACGTTTCAAATTATTAATTTAGTCACTTTGAAACATCAGCGGTTGCCTTTTTCCCTGTATTTAATGTATTGCGTATTTGTATTAAACAGAATTATTACTTGCGTATTACAAAAGGACGTTTTTCAGTTCTCTTATAAGATGACTATAATCAAACTTGAACGTTTAAATTTTAAGGGCAGTAAGACTTTAAAAAGAAAAGAGGGCCTGCTGTAATGTGACTTTTACCAGCCAATAGAACAAAGAGAGAAGGCCACTATTAGCGTCTTCTCTGTAGTCAATTTGTTATGTTCTTAGGTAGTGAACGCTGTTTGCATTTTCAGTGTCTCCAACTTTTGGTAACCGTTTTTTGTAAGAGTAGGCGATAAGCAATGTAGCGCAACCAAGAGGGGGTGAAAGATCACACCTAAACATTCTTAATAATTTTCTTTCATTCTATTACCAAAACCCCCGTAAAGGCAATTAGGTAAGATTGAAAATGATCTCTTCGTTTTATTTTAAGTAAGACTGATATTATTAATTCAATGTGGAGGCAAATTTAATTCCAAGAAAAGTATTTTTAGTATTTTATAAGAAAACCTACCTGAAACTAATAAATGGAACTTTCTAGTCTAAGGACATCGTTAACAGAAAGAAAGGACGTTCCTTACAATCTATAATGATGGCCTTTAAATCTATAATATGTTTAAATTGTTATTTTAAACATTTATAATTATATGTTGTGATGCTTATTTTATTATCTATGAATTATAATTTGAATGGGTTCCTTTACAATTCGAATGCAGACAGTACTTTTGTTTAAATGAGAATAATAAATAATAATAAAAATTCCCATGCACATGTTACTATCAAGAAGACATTATATAATCACATTGCGTCGTATTGATTTATTAAAAAGCAGCAATGAAGGTAAATCATGTTAAATTTTGATCAAATTGTTAGCGTTCTTTTAATTTTAATACGTTTTTTTCTCTGAGTGTCCAGAGCTCTTCAGGGAATACGCGAATACCATAGTTAGCGATTACATTTAATCCTCAGAAGAGAAAGAGAACATTATAAATAAATAAATATAAATTTTATTGTATTTTAAAAATTGACCAGTCAATTGACGCAAAAAAAAATTCCACTAGTGTGGATCATGTAGGGTTACACTTAAATTATAAATTATTTTTTAAATTATTATCATTTTTATTACAATTAATTGGGTGTTTACCTTGCTCCCCGCGAAAATATTGATAATAGGTTCTTAAAAAAAGGATAAAACTTTGTCCAAAACATCTGCCCTAATTTTTAATTTTTGTTTCCCGATACTTGAAGCCAAAGCGGCTCATTAAAATAAACAATTAGAAATTAAAAAAAAAAATGATGAAAAATATCTCCCGCAGGTGTGGTTCAGCAATCGGCGCGCAAAATGGCGCCGCGAAGAAAAACTGCGGAATCAAAGACGAGCAGTCGATCAAGTGGGCGCTGTCAGTCCCCCGGCGCCGACAAGCCGCCTTTCCATTAATCCCGGATTTAATTCGATGTATTCTTCGATCCCTCAACCGATTGCCACGATGGCCGACACCTACAGGTAAACTTGAATACGATTTGAGAAAGTGGATTAAAGGTGACTAGCAATGTGGGAAGAGGGACCCCTTACGTTGCCATTAAATTTTTGCTGATTCTGTATTTATAATAGGTTAGATTAAGACAGCCACTTTCTTCATCAGTTTAGTTGAAAAAAATCCATTAAAACACTAACATTTTAGATATTTTATCTTGGTACTCTTATTACGTACTTTAAAAAGAGGAGGAATTACATCTGGCCGTAAGTGTACTCCGTCTGCCGAAATCCCAACGTGAAAACTTCTTTTAAGTTGGATGATTTTAATTTTCTTGAATCCCCCAGGCTGAATAAATGCATAAAAAGTCAATGTGTGTAAATTATACTTATTATAATTAGTACGTGAGTTTCGTTTCCTACGCGTGTGCGCCACTTCGGTCGTAGGAAAAGTATAGCCACTTTTTAAGTCAATCGTTTATTAAACACTCGCTCTGCTTGTGCCAAATAAAATCGTGACTTCAGTGCCGTTTACCACAATTCAATTCAATTTCGCCACCAAAGATAGTATACTATTTTGGATCAATAATGGTGATAACAAAATGTTGGAATGATTCTAATTCTTGGCAGTGGTGGATGCCTGTTCTTCTTTACCGTTACCGTAACATTTGGAATATGGGAGGATGGACGTTGTCTCATATAAAATACATGGAATATGGAATATGGAAACAGTTATTTGAAAAATAGTTTATTATGCGACAAATGTGGTACGCGGCGCGAACGGATCGAATGCTTAATAAACACGTGACTTAATAAAAGTTTACCAAGCGTGCACCATCGCATAAAATTGCTAAATTCAAGCCGAAAACATCCGATTGCTCCCAAACCCGTGCGGTAATATCCCGAAAATGTCCGCAGTTGCTCGGATCCGTGGTACACGAAACTGACGTGGTAAAATGACACTTTCCGCCCTCTGGATCGGTGTATATTTGGGCACTTTATAGGAGGAAGGAAAAAAATCTTTGTCATGTAATGAAAAAACGAGAGTTTTTTTACTAATCCTACTGAATTGCAAAAATGGGTGACTATGAGATTCTATGGAGTATTACAGAATATAAAAGGCAGTTAAAAAATAAAAATAAAATATAACATCATAATTCTAGAATTTTTAAAGTTTTTTATAATCGTTTTTTTTAAGTATTTGGACATTACAGGAACTAACTAACGATCCTATCACATTTAATTTGGCATTTTTGCTTAATTAGAGAGAATTACCATTAAAGGTGAGTATATTAATATTGTAACATCAAAATTGTAAAATCATTTTTTTTTGGACAACCGTTAGGATATTTTATTATCCAAATTTACTTTTCTTACTATTTACTTGGGGGGGGGGGCATAATTTTTCCCCCCTCTCCTCGCAATTAATTTAAATTAATAAAGTTAACTAAAAGATCCCCGGATTTCTTTTTAGTCCGATGGCGGGTGGATTGACTTCGAGCTGTCTCCAACAAAGGGAGGCGGCGGCGGCCGCCAGTTACCCCTACATGTTCCACGACCCCCTGCATTCTTTGAGTTCCTCGTATAACTCACGAGCGACGGCCTGTAACCCCGCAGTTGCACACACACAGCCAACCACGCATTCAACGTACACCTCGGGGGGTTCCGCATCGGCCACCCCCGTCTCGACTGGAACCGGTAAGTCAAAATTTTCGATCATCGTATAATTTGGTATTTTAGAGGAGTGGCAAAAGCTGTTTTTTCAATTTGTTTCTCGAGTGTTCATAAAATTCAAATACCTTATTAAAGAAAAAATTTTTCAATCAAACTAACCTCAATTTAAATTTAATCCACTGTCAATGGCTAAATGAGATAATGTATATATATTATCTACAGGGTGTCTCACGACATGACTGCCATAGCTTGAGAGTGTGTTGCTGGGGTGATTTCAAATTAAAAATGTCATATGATCATATACTCGGAACGCTATTCTAATTGAGCTACAAGCATTTGAAATGATAAAGAAGGTTTAAAAGAAAGACCTTTATATTTTATTTATTTTTATTTTATTTTATTGAATTAGTCGTTCAAAATGGCTGCTCAGTTGCTGTATACATAGTATAGTTCTTAGGTAGAATCCGGAATTTTAACTACCAGTTCTCTGTTTTCAATACTTTCTGCATAAACTAAAGTTTTCAGTCTTCCTCATAAAAAGTAATCTAAGGGATTAAGGTCAGGTGACCTCGCTGGTCGAGGAATAATTTTGTGATAGTGAGGAGGTGCTGAATCGACATTCGTTGTCTTCCATTAAGATGAACATCATCCAGTAATATCCAGTAATGAGGCGGTCATCAATAATGCCACACCGAAAATCTATCTTGAAAATGGGGTTTCCGAGTTTGTTGTGGGTTTTCAAGTGCCCAACAATGTGAAAGTGATGTTATTGATACCGTTTCGGGTGAATGAGGCTTCATCACTTAATAATGTTATTCGGCAAATCCTTTGATTTCTCCATATCCAGCGACTAAATTGAAGTCTTGAAGCGTAGTAGGTAGGTTTTAAAGTTTGTACGGGGCACAAACCGAAATTGTCTAAAGTTCTCCATACTCTCATCGGGTCTACGTTCTTTATAAGCTAGCACACGGTTCTGTTGAACGGGGCGTTCAGAAGTAACTGTAGAAAACCTGCCAGTTTCTCTCAAATATCGATGGTGAATGATTGCGTAGAATACAAAAAAGTAAACATTGTAACTTGAAGAGTATTTTAATGTAACACGCGAAAATAAACACGCAAAACTAATTTAATTGACACAATACTGGAGCAAATAATTCAATAAAACGGTTTCTTTTTAAATGCTTGCAATACACCCAAGCTATGACAGTCATGTCGTAGGACATCCTGTAGATATAAACATAATATAATATAATTAAACAAAAGTTTGTATGAAATTTTGGGCTTCCGTAAAAAAAAAATACTTTTTTCAGAATAAAAATGTATACAGTGTGTGCAAGTTAACAGTATTTCACTACAATCGTGCGATCACACGAAGGATATAAGACCGCGTCACGGTATTGATTTTTTAAACTGAAGAAAAATTACACATTTTATAATTAGGTCGCTTAAAAACTTCCTAGTTACTCCTTGAAATATATTAGAAAACAACAAATTTCCCACTTACGTTGCTGTACTTTTTTTCATTTTTACCCAATTTTTATAATTCAGCATACCCGAGGGAACACAAAAATTTCAATTACAAATACTGATTATCTTAATCTTGATTATTCATATGTTCTGAATAAAGATTTTTTTAATTCACGTTTAAAACAAAACAAAAATGTTAGTCCACATTAAAAAAAAAGTTAAATGTGCAATACGTAGTCAAAAGACCCAAATGTGCCAAAAATTAGGATCTTCTATAGTTTAAACATCCCCACCAAAAACTGTGTTCTAATCAATAAACGAAACAACATACACAATATTTATTTTATGAAAAATCCAGCGAACACCCTGTACGAGTTCATGTTCTGAATGATGATTTTTTTTTATTTCAATTTTAAAACAAAACAAAAATGTTTAAAAAAAAATGAGATGAAATTGAATCAAGAAATTAAAAAAGGAAAAAAATCTAGAAAATGGGAAAATTACGTTAAAAAAAGTTACATGTGCAATACATAGTCAAAGGAACCAAAATGTGCCAAAAATTAGGATCTCCTATAGTTTAAACACCCCCCCAAAGGGTAGAAACATCGACATAAAAAACTGCGTTCCATTGATTTGCAACCAACAAACAAAACAACGTACACAATATTTATTTTATGAAGAAGCCAGCGAACACCCTGTTCGAGTTCCGCGCGCATTATCTCAGTAATTTCGTCATTCGAGGAGGTTATTACGAACGGGGCCTCCGCGTGGCGGACCAGAATGAAAGATGACGTTCCCCGAGATTTATGGTGTTTTCACACTAGGAGGCGGCATCCGCGAAAAGGTTAAGCGGGCTCCCGAGAGAGAGCGAACCAAACGAGGCTTGCAACCAAAACAACGGTCGTCCCCACCCCCGTTTTACAGTTTCTCACATTATTGAGCGCTCGCCGAGCCGAGAATCAGCAACCCACCCCTTTTTAATACACACGTTTTCGCAGATCATGTTAAGAGCCTCGTTCAAAGTATAATTGCTGAATTATGTCCAAATTTCTTTTTGACCAATTACGTCGATTTTTTTAAGAATAAAAAAATTATAACAGTTTCGTAAAGTTTCATTAAGAGTTTTTTTTTGCAAAAAAAATTCCAGAGGCTATTGTAATACTTTTTATAAAACGTATGGATTCCTCCTGCGTCGGTTTTTCCTGTTGGCTTCTTCAGAGCTTGACTGAAACTGCAGAAGCCAACAGGATGATTGGAGAAACGTTAGTAAGTTGGAGTCAACAAAAACCGACACAAGTGGATTCCAGTCTCCTTGTAACTCTATACACTTCTCCCAGCCCGTTCAAATAGTACCCAGCGTTTTCCTTCGTAAAGTAATTGTTCGCGAAAATCCAAGCGCAGTTTAGAGATGAAGGAACAAGAAGCTTCTTGGGCATCTGGTGAATAAGGAAGATGGTCAAGCAGTTCAAACCGTAATTCGTGGATTTTCGCCATGGCAATCGCGGAGCTATGAGACGGGTTGTCTTGGTGAAAGAGGATTTTTTTTGAAAAATGTTTTTTTTTTCGCAATTTCTGTCCACAGATTGTCAAGTAATGATGCGTAGTATGCTCCTATAATAGCTTTTCCTTTTGAAGGTAACCATCACTTTACCAGACGAAAAAACGGTTTTTGTTTTTTCGGAGTCCACTGTTTTGACTGTTTTGGAGTCGGTATCCCCTTGGTGTATCCAAGTTCGATCTAGAGTAGATAATCGCCGCCAAAACTCGAATGTATTGCGCATAAACTGCGCTAATAGAGCGTTGGAAACGTTCATTCGAACACGTTTTTGGTCTAACGTGAGTAAACACGCCACCCAACCCGCGACAAACAGGTTCTTCGAGCACTTCCATAACCAACTAACTTTAATTTACGTAGGCGTATTGCCTTTCAAAAACAAATATTTTATAACAGCTCAATACTCAAAAGCCACGCTACCAAAATGGCTGAGACTTTAATAGCTAACTATCAAGAGAGGCACCTACGATCATTAGCTTTTAGCAACTAGTGCCGTCATCTTCAGGATGAGGTCGGAAACTTCTCAAATGACCCTGGTATTTTACTGGTAAAAATAAAAAACATATTTTGCAGTCGTTATGCCTTTTGACGGTCAAAACAAAATCGATAAAAATATAATATAGCAAAGTCACATTTTTAATATTTCATATGTTAATTAGGTTCGTATTTTTTTCTATTGTATATTTGAAATCTTAATAGTTTTGTGCTTTAATTAAACGGAGAGCCGAACTTTTCCAGAAGGCATTAAGAACCACATTCAGCAAAAAACAAAAACGAGAAAGACAAAAAACAACAAAAATATTTAATTTAATTTAAAATTTAATATTAAAACAAACAAAAATATTTATTTCTGCTAAATTTTGATTCATATATCCATATGACTCTGCTTAATTATTTTTGTCTTTTTCACATTTAATTAAAAGCACTTCACAAAATTTCATTCGCTTTTGAAAATATACTTAATTAATTAATAAAGTTTGGACGTTTTGAAATTTATAATCGTGCATTTTATGGTTCGTCAAAATCTTCTGAATTGATCTCCAGTTTAATACCTAAATCTTGTTTGGCACAAACTTCAGAAAATTCGGGATAAGCGTCAAAACAAGCTATAATATAATTTCGTTTTTTGCTCCATTTTATCCAATATCCAATAATGAATCAACCAAGACAAAATATTCCTTCCTGTCATGCTCCAAAGCCTTCTTTGAGAACCGGGTAATAATTTAATTTTAATTTTATTAGATTATTGCCGAAAAAGGGCGAAATAGTTGGAAAGAAACTAAAATTAAATTTAAAATGAGGTTTTACGAAGTGATTCTGTCTATAAGCGAAACTTATATTTAAAATGGTATGCCAAAAGCTGCCTGGAAAAGTTGGACTTTCCGTTTAATTAAAACAAACTGTTAAGATTTCTTCAAGGGTTCAAATTGAATGAAAATCTCGGAAATTATTTTTATGTTCGATAATCCATCGGCAGCTATAGAGAAACCTGAACAAAACCTACTTTATTCCTTGAGTAAAATCTGAACATGAAATGATCGATCCGCCATTTAAACTCCTCTTCCATCACCCTGTATAATTTAAAGTAAATCAATTGGTCCGTTCGCCAGATTACCCTTGTGCGCTGTGCACCATTCGGCACGTTTTTTCTTTCATAAAAGTTGTCTAGCCTACGGCAGGTCTCTTTCATTCTCGAGAGTATATTCGTGACAAGAGCATTGTAATATATTCTTTCTAGGGGTGATATCAGCGGGAGTTTCAGTCCCGGTCCAGATCCCCAGTCAGACAGCCGACATCGCGTCCAACTACTGGCCCCGAATTCAGTGATCGCAACTATTCGGGTTTCCTACGCCGAGCCTGCTCGTGCACCAGGATAACCCGGCTCTCCAGGCCGCTATGGCTGCGGCTCCGATCATCCCATCTAGTACGACACCACCCGAACCGGAAACCCATTCGTAATAACTCATCAGGAGAGGTGGATAATCCGAACGAAAGAAATCTTCAGAGAAGAGGTTGAACGTAATAGACGATCCAAACCAAAAAGGAGCGCAGGGTAAACCTATGATGTGTGTGATTAGTTATTGGCGATAGAGTGGAAGTGTGTAGTGTGAGGGTGATTTTCAGTGGTAGAATTGTTTATGGCGCCAAATATGTCCCCGCCCTCCAGGGTGTTCGTTAATGAATGAAAAAAAAATTGATTAATCGGTAATGTATTTTTAACTTACAAACAACTGTCTGTAAAAATATTCTTAAGAACTTTGTTCTTTACTTTTTGAACTTCTCCTAATTAAAACCGTGATTAACAGATGCATCCAAAAATTAGAATTTTACTGACAACAGGTATCCAAAATTGAATGAACATTGGCAACCAACAAACAGATCGCTGTATAAGGTGATTTTTTGCACATGTTTTTTGCAAATACCAGAAACATTTTGAATTTTTTGAGAGGAAATTTTGATATTTTACTACCTAAATAAGAAATAGAAACTTAAAGGGGAGCAAAATTATGAGAGTGGACTGCTGCTAGATCTGATCATTTTATTATAGACAATTATCTTGTGGATGGAAAATGAAAACATAAAATTTCGATACCCAGTTGGTGTATCCTGAAAATTCATTTTCCGAGTAGCGCTATTCATTAACACCGGGCATATCGGTCCAAGGCTAAGCAATGAAAACAGAACAGTTCATGCAATAACGGATCACCAGCTATGTAAATATTGTACATAATTAAATTCCGCGTAAATAGCTGTACATAGTTTATTATTAATGAAGAAGAAATTGCTCGTATACGTTAGTGAAAAGCTGATTACCAGGACGTTGAAAATTTTTTTTAGGCAAACCGCAATGGGTACTAAAAACTTTCTCGTAAAATTGTGACAGTTACATACACTTTCGGCCAACTTTGTTTTGGTTAGCTTCACGTATTCCGGAAATCAATATTCACCTCAGCGTACATTTTAAATAGCAATAACACTACTTACAATGTTTAATTTTAGGTGCCGTATTTAACAAACAGTTAAATGTTTAACGAATGAGTATTCTGTGTTGTAACGCTGGATTCAGCAAACGGTTTTACAGCGTTGTCGGGTGCGAAACTATTCGTGCCACGCGACAACGCGGCAAAAATGTAAGCTCTCGATTTTTTCATCGTCTCGCAGTAACCGATTTCGATATTTATTGCGTTTAGTATTTAATACAATATATATACTGTAAAATACGAATAATTAATTTATAGTATTGATAAATGTTGGTAAATTAATGTTGCTGTGATTATTTGAAATAATTAGGTATACAGAAATGCACTAAATGTAGCACATGTGTTGTGTAGATGTGTAAAATAGTTTGTGGAATAAAACTTTAGCGATAACGATGTTGTTTTGTTTGTCCTACCCGATTGTCCTTACTATCCAAAATAACCAAAAAATATATGGGCTGACTTGTCTATATAATGAAATAGAAAAAATATTATTTCTATTTCAAATTTACAAAAATTATTTTACTTAATGTCTGTCTGTCTCTAAAATGTACTGTTATAGTGGAAGTAAAAAACATTAATCCAAATATTTTATGCAATATACTTCGGAAAAAATAAAATTTACATCCCTAATTTAAAAAAAAGCATTTACTTGTACTTAGTACTAAAAACAAAAAAAGAAACTGGAGAGTAAAGTACTGGCCCCTAATTGTAATAAATAAAACGCCGGCATCTAGGACATAGTATATATTATTACATCCCTAATAAAACTAGTGAAATAAAAATAAAAAAGTGGTCGAGTTCCCATTAGCGATGAAAAGTCGGTGCGGTCTGCAAAAGGGGTGTCCTTTCGCTTAAGAACGTAACATTCGGTATTCGGTGGACGGGAACGGTGGTGCGCCTCTTTGCCACCGCGACTGAACAAAGTACCCAAGCGAAAACAGCGCGATCCAAGTAGCAATGTGTTGTATATCTGAGCATGAGGAGATTTAATATTACAATATTACAAAATTAAATAAATAAAGAAATTGACTCTACAGGAAAATTTGTAAAAGTAAAAAAGGTTTTTTTATCAGTGAAAACACTAAATGAAGTGTTTAGGTTTAAATCTAACAAGAGTTCGTTTACTTACCCTTTACTTGAATAGGTGGATCCACTATGACCCGATTAAAACCGGCGACGTTAATTCGGCGAAGTGTGTTTATGAAAATATATTGCAGGTTACCTCCTGAGTGGTAGTTTATGGCTACGATTGCGCAGTATGACCCAATCAGGCTAAGGGCTAGGATGTGACTGCGCGGTGCGAACGCTGACGATATAAGCAAAATTGAGAGAAACACGCAGGCGTACGTCGTCCAAAAAACTAAGTCGTTGCCGAACAAGTCGTTAACCGCTGAAAAAAGTAAACGGTTCACAATTGATAAACATTTTAATTTCACTGCTTATTGATTTAATCATTGTGCCATCTATAGGACGGATGTGATACAACAGGATTGTTTATCTATTCTGTGACAAAACGGTGCAATGTCATGTAAAAAGGAAGAGGCGCGAATGCCTCGACGAAAAAGTAAGTGGTTTTCATGTAATGCTTTCTCAAAAAGGATATTTTTTTAGGGCAGAAAGATCACATTCTACTTCTCTTTCACTAATTTGGTCTCTGCTTGAAGTTTTTTTAAAAATCAAACGGCATTCGTCATTTTTTTTACTATTAATGGCCCTGCACGCGCCTCTTCTTCTTATTTACTTGCTATTACGCTTTACTAACAGAATAGAAACATTTTCATTTACATTTACCAAAGGTGGCGCAACAAAGATCAAAATATTAATTAAAGACTAAAATCGAAAGTCAACAGTTTTTTTTATATTCCTCGGTTTTCAATAAAACATATTAACGATTTTGTAAGGAAATTGCAAATAATATAATATTAATATAATAATAATTTGTTTGTCTGGAAAGGCAACTGGGGGGCGCATTGTAATACTTCAACAAGACAAATTGTGTTGTAGTTATCGATAACTTTCAGAACAAGAATTTAATAATTCAAACATTTACGCGATTTCCATTTTTTTTTCTGAAAAGTGTCTTTTTTTTTTATTTACAAAATGTGAAACTACAATTCCCTAAAACGCACGATTACAAGCAGCCTTCTTCTTCTTTGGTTTTAGTTATTTCTTGAAATGAATTTTCACAAAACAAAATGGACAAATATTCATTATCTTTCAAATTGTGTTTCATAAAAATACAAAAAAATGAAGGGGGTGATTTCCTTGTTTCCTTGGTATAATACGACCAAAAATATAGTGCATTTATAGCTTTGACGTATTAAGTATTTTATAGTACCCTAACCGCAGACCTTTGCAGGTAAAACCCATCCCAACAGATGTTTATTCTGCATTCTTGCCTGTGATCGTAACGAATATTTGTAGAAATTTGAATTTTTTATTTGAAATGTAAATGGACCGTTTTAAATTTGATTAAGCAATGCTGCGGGGGTTTATTTTAAAATGAAGCGATAGGTATCATTCTTAAGAGTTTAATCTAAATTGCAATATGTTCGTATTTATTACGGAGCTATTTGACTGCGATCCCTCCCGTAAGTACGTATTTATGTACCTGATTCTCGAGCTTTGACCCTGCGAGGCTGTTTTCACTGGATAGTTCAAAGGGTAAGGGTAAGTACCTGTACTCTATTTATCATACAGTTTGTCTGAAAACATGACCGCGGAAATATTTGATGATTGGTTTGAAAATAAACTGCTGCCAAAACTATCGCCAAATACTTTTATCGTGTTGGATAATGCCTGGTATCATTCAGCCCAAATTAGAAAAATTCCAAATACTTCTTCAAATAAAAAAGAAATTAAAGAATTTCTGGTCGAAAATGACTTACATGTTGAAGAGAGCTGCACGAAAAAACAAACTTCCGGAATTATTAAAAATATACTTATATCCCGCTTGTTAGTGTGGGTAGATAAATTCTTAAGACGGTCCTGGAATGGTTACGGCTAAGGGTCTGATCGGCCGGGTGTTCTGTAAGGCGCGGCGGTTTTGGAGTAATAAACAGTAGGCAGTACGCAGGGTCGGTTGTAACAGCACTATATTTCTGGTGTAAGTGTAATTTGTTATATACGCTGGATCAAAAATCTACGATTACTGAGATGTCGAACTATAAATATGGCGGAAAAATAATTTAATTTTTTTATTTTTATTTTTTTTTTACTACCGAATAATTAATATTACAAAAAAACCTTTTCTGGATATTTTTTGTTTTTTGAAAATAAATGGAGGGAATTGAATTAGACCACCCCTATCATTCATCTCAACATTTAAGGAAAAAGCTATGCAATTACATAAAAATATTTTTTTATTTTGGTTTCATTTAGAAAGCGAGTTTTAATTCGCTAATGGTGAATCGCACTAATGCAAGCATAAATACATGAATCATATCGAGAGGCAGGCATTTTTGCAAATGCTTGTTCAACACTTACTATAAAAATTGTATTTTGTTTTGCCTTAGGTGTCTTGCTTATTGGTGGGGTTTTTATTTGGGTTACTTGTATAAATAAAATACTTTATATTCTAATTATATATACCATCTACTACAAACTACCATCTATTTTAAACAATAACTGATCACCTTCAGTTTTATCGCATTTGTTTTCAAACACCCTGTACAACCATTATCTTTAATTTGTTGAATGAGAGGGTTGTTTTTTTTTTTCATCCATTTTAGAATTTATTGAGTAATAATTAAATTAGTCTTTTTCAGAAAACTGTTGCATACCTAATGCGGTTTTATTAATCTACACCTCTCTGAACTAAAAGTCAATTAACAAAATCTTTCCTTTTTTTTTCGTAATCAACAAATTTTATTTACTAAAATTTAAAAATTCCCGGGATACAACCATTTCATGTCTACTTTTGTCCAGTCGCATATGTCGACCATATGTGAAAAAGAACTCACCAAATCCCAGGTAAAAAACAGTCGATATCAGGATCGTTGAGGCAAAAAAGAACGTCAGACTGATCGAAAGCAGGGGCACCCCCAATTTAATCCAGAGGAAGACCCAGATCGCCCCCGAGAGGATCGAAAAAACGGTCACTACTAAAACGTATATGAGGAATGTTTAAAATAGTAGTCGTATTCATCTCTAGGCTATCTACTTACAGACACCCGAATTGACGAAGATGCTACCCACGAGCTGACCCAATCCGAAACCCAATACAAAAAGTGACATTTTGAAAAGACGATGCCCGGCAATACACATCACAAATCCGAACAACAAGAGTCCCATGCATACTATTTTTCCTAAAATTGCGACATCACAGTTTTCAAAAATACACCACACCTAATGTCACAAATGATTTTAAAAATTTTGCGAAATATTTCGTAATTAAAACAAATCCTAACTAATCAGATTTTGGTTAGATTTGGTTCACTGAGCAACCAACATTACGCCTAAGTGTCTGGCGGGTTGCATTGCTGTTGTACCTGGCATCTTATTTTCGATGCCGTAGCTTCTAAAAGATGAAAGATATTTTAATTTTGTAAATACTTTTAAGTCGCAACTTTATAACAGCACAAAAATTGAGCATTTAAAATTAGAATTCAGTATTGTTTTTTCAGCACAGTTATCAGGACGTGAATCCAATACAAAAAAATAATCTCTTAAATTTTTGGTAATAGGGCCTTAAAATAAAATTATTGTTTGGATATTTTAGGCTTAAGGTCGATTCTAAAGTGTGATTGATAATGAAAAGAATAGAGTAGGTTACAGTTAAGTTTTATAAGGTTCTGAGAACAATAAAACTACTTAATCTAAAAGAAAATGGGGAGTTAAAACATTGCGAAAATAAAATTTAAATTGAAGCAGCCTAGGAAGCAGCTAAAACGAATATACAAATATTTGGTTTCATATTTTAGATACGCCAATTTATTTCTGCGAAAAACTGTTTAGAAATCAAAATATCTTTCACGTTAAGTAAGTTATAGCGAATTTAAAGATCGCCAATTGACTTTAAAACATGAAGATGAAGATTTCGATAAATAATTCGTCGGTCACAAGGAAATGTCGAAATGAATGGCAACAGAAAGGCGAGGTAGCATTAAAAGAATTTGACATAAAATAATCTCGATTTGTCATAAAATCCTTGTAACCATCTTGTTGCCAAAATATTATGCTCATGTTTTCTTCCTTCTACGACTGTGACAAATGACTTCCACTGCTATCAGTATAATTAGCAGATTAGCAAACAGTTGTTCCATTGTGTTTTCGCAAATCTATTGGCAAATATTAATTAAATTAATTAAGTCAATTTAAATTTGATTGATTTGCCATTTTTATGGAGCCGATAAGACCAGATTGTAGGTACCAAAATTATCAAAAATAAAGTCATTTTGAAGTTTTTAAATCTGAGAATCCAATCCAAACAATTCACAATATTAAACACTTTTTATAAATTATAAATAATCACATTACAATACACATAAAAAAAAAAAAAAAACTCAAACCTTAAGGTACTGGGTACATACCCGGGCCTGCGCAGTCGGCGTCCCATTTCGACAAATCGCAACCGAATGACGCTGCAGGGACGTAGGCGGAACTCCCGCCTACGTCAGTCGCGATCACTGCGAAAATCTCTCCAGTGCCCCTGTATAAATTATAAAATATTTTGTACTTTGCATAATCAGTTTTATGAACGCGACGGCCGTTTTTCTTGATACGCTCGACGGTCATCATGTTCGCGATTCCCGTGAAGTAGTTTGTTTCATTGGGGTCATTTTCCGACAGAAACATGTGGTACATGTCGACCTGCACCCTGTCGTTATTATTGCAGGACGATTTTCGCCTTGAAGGCGGCTGGCTGGCCACCTCGATAGTCGAATCAGTGTAAGAAATTTTTTGGTACGGCGCGATCATCGTTTCGAATGACAGGTTGCAGCCGCCTGGTATTGGATCTACAAATCGCACAATACGAGCCCAAGAAACGCAACCGACATTAAATCGACGTGTCTGGTTGGTTGCCTTACTTACGACTGTACTGTACTGTTTTTAACATTTCGAGACATACAAGATTGATCAACTTTTGAATTACAAAATGTAACTTTCATCGAACATGAATGATAAAAAATATAATTCGGCCAAATCAGTAACCGATTTCCGAGAGTCGTCTTTTGTTTAATATTAACCTTTCTATCGACTTTTTATAGATAATTACGAAAATTGACACCAGAACGCTAATTAACATGTTTACCGCACTTACCATGCTTCCCATAAACGTGGATGGCCAGTAAAATTTTTAAACTTTCTCCACTTGACATGTTGTGAATACAATAAAACGAAACACCACCGATATCATTTTCTAGGCCAACCGACCTGTCCCAATACAGGCCAATATTGGTTCCGTTGACGTGCGATTGAAGCTGAATAGTAGGCGTATACGAGAGCGTGAGAACTTTCACGTAACTATGAACCTGTATTATAAAAAACTCCACGCTTGGGTCAATATTGGTCACCAAGATTCGAGTATTATCTTCAGTTATATTGGCATATTCTATGAATTCAGTCTTGTTCGTTTGGAAGTTATAAGATGTCAAATCTATCTCAATGTCGTCACATAATACTAAAACAAAGTGTATGTTTGCTATTATTTCCGAAAAATACTAGATCCTTTCAAAATTTACTGAATACACCTCTGACTAACGAAATGTTATCACACCTTTTATCAGACAACTTTTACCTAAACCTATCTCAAGAGTAAAAACATAATGTGAGGTTATGTTTGAATGTTTGGCGACGTTTTGCAATTCAGCCGGTTATTTACTTTAATTAACTTTATTAACTTGAATTTTATAAAAAAATAGAAACCTTATTACATGGATTTTTGATCCGAATAAGCCTACACTGTGATGAAAATTAGATACTCACTTATATGTCTGAGGCTACATAAAATGAACAAAATCTTGTATTGTATAAACATCATGATTCCTATCCACTTTCACAGATCCGCACACTATTATTAGAACTAAAGAAATTATATCACTTACACAAAAAATAAAACAAATCACAATCGTTTCATCAAATTTCGGTTAGGAACATTCAAATTCTCTTCGTAAGTATCAAAGGGAGGTCACGTGGCCCTGATCCGATCGATGGGCGAGTATCAAAGTGAACCAACTCGTAGCCCACTGTTCCAAATCGTTTGGTCCCTTGTAAAGGAATCTGTTAAAATAAGGTTATTTTGGTCAGTTCAATTTAGTTTTCAATAGACAAGCGCAATTAATTTTACGAAAGAAAAAGCGAGCTACTGCGAAGGAAAATGCTTTTATATAGAGTTTTGAAATCAACAAAATAAAACAGAAAGACAAATGGATGCCGAATAGATTAGAAAGTTTCCTTCGATGTTACTGCGAGGCGCTGCCGTGGCAACATGGCCGTCGGTAATCAATGAAATTATCGTACGTAAGGTTGTGATCGTAAAATTTGCGAAATGTTTTTTTTTAATGAATAAAATACAGTTCGGGCTGGAATGGGCAAAGACCAGGAGCTACTGGAGGCTGCCAGGAAAGGTAACACGGCGGTGGTGGAGAAGATACTTGGCCAAAGAGCTAAAAGGAGTGGTCCGCTCGCAAGGTGGGTTATTATCAGCTGTCAAAGTGGTTTTGTTATTGTTTTTAAAAGAAACATATACACTGACTTGACGCCAAAGTCGTCTGTTCCCGAATTTTTCGTTTAACTTGTCTGGGTAGCGTTTTCGTACTTCGTGAAGTGGGTTAATGTTGTAGTGTCATTTTGTAGGTTATGTTTTGCTTTATATTGATTAATAGTTGTTATTTAATCGTATAACACTTTATTGGGGGCTAAATGCACAAATATTTGCAAATAGAAATTCATTGTTTGTGACAATGGAACGCACTTAGTGCATTGCGTGAAGATTAAATAATATAAATTTTAACTGATAAAATGTAGCAGCCATACGCCGACAATCATTTTGGAAAAAGTATCCTAGAAATAGCCAAGGTCGTTTGTTTAATTGAGTTATTAATTATGTATTTAAATTTTGCCTCATTTTATACCTCTATTGTGTGAATTTGTGTATCGGTAGTTTAGTGTTTCGTCGGTGTTCCACAATTTAAAATTTAACGTTAAATGGATTAACCCATTTTAAATTGCCTTATTAACGTCGTTAATTTCAATGTCTGGCTACCAGAAAAGTTGTCGCATTTAGATTTAGCCGGTTCAGTCGTGTTAAGAAAAAGGAAACGGTTTGTGCAGGTCATGTGTCTGTATCCAGACATTGAAAGGTTAAAATCGATCGGCCCTGTTGCGAAAGTTTTGCTCGTTTTGCCACACCCTTGCTTTCACACCTTGACTAATGAAAACTCCTGTTCGCGCCAGACACGCGAATATTCGAATAGGTCTCGCTTTCGGTCTCATGATGTAATTACGTTTTTTAAAACTATTTTATTAATTAAATTTACGATTTACATGCAGGGCAAACCGTTTAAGTGACCTATTTTTGCGACCACCCAAATCACCCTCAAATGAATGTTAACGGGGTTCCTTTTGCCCGCAAAACATGAAAAGGTCAAGAAATTTGGAGATTGGCCTAGAAATGACCTTGGATTTCTTAAAAGTCCAGGAATTTAATCACCTGACCTAACCGGAGAAAATTGTGACGTAAATATATCAAATATTGATTGATTGGAGCTTTTAAAAGCAAAAAACGGATATAATGCCATAAAAGGTTTTCATGCAAGGTCACTAATTTCTGAAAATTTTGACTATTGATTTGGCTCATACAGTTTCGATTTGTGAAAGAAGTGGTTAAACAACCTTCAATCAAAAAAAATACGAGCTATTTTAATCCTTATTCGTTACCTCTAAGTTACCATTACCATGGATTAATATTGAAGTAGCTTCGTTATTAAGCTTTCAAGAGCTTCTTTGACGTAGCGATATTAAACCTTTCTAAGTGACTTATCCGACCTGGTGACGTTATTGCACTGACGGATTAATATGAGCAACGATTGATTCGTAAACACTCCATCATGCGTCTCAAACCGAAAATCTTTTTTCCCCTTTTCCACCGAAAAGAAAAATATGACAGTTGCAGTTTTCCTATACAACTGAAAATCGCCTGAGCGGCAGCACCTTATTCGATAAATTCATCTCCATATTTTTAATTACTTAATTAATATCATGTTTGTGAATAAGTTATGGGCAATCGTTGTCGCTTGAAGTAAAGGATATCTCATTTTTATTACCTACATACTTGCAAGTATGCTGAATTCTACTCTCACAGACAACTTAAATATCACACAAAAGCATTATTAAAGCATTTTAAAGTTTTTTCGGTGATTTGTTTTGAGTAAAAATGCGTTTCACTGTTTAAAATAACAAAAAAAATTATTTTGACAAATATATCTAAACACTCTAAACTGACATGTTACTGTTACAAGACGATGTACGAAATTGTTTGATATGTTTAGATGTTTGAGAGTAGTCAATTTTTAAAAAAAAAATTTGTTATAAACCTGAAAACTCAAAAAATTTCTTTTACTGAATTCAAGGCAAAACTACCCGTCTAAAGACATTATATAATCTTTTAATAAATTTTTTTGCCATAAATTTACGTGTTCTATCATTGAAACACGCACTTATTTTGAAGTTCTGTTTAAAAAAATGCATTAGTTTTGATATACAACCTGTATAATATAAAGGTAATTTTAAAATGTAACGTAACCATAATTGACCTCCTAAAGTTATATTTTGAAAACGTTGTATTTTCACTAGGGTTGTGGAATTGACCGGTCATTGAAAATTGAAAACACCGTGAAATTTATATTTATTTATTTATATTGTGCGTTACGTCAACTATCAATCCAAGAAAGTGGGTTTTTAAGTAGTTATCTGCAGTTTTAAAGCGGATTCCAGTCCCATAAGTTATGAAAATGCTGGTTTTGACTATGACCTGCTCAAAATCATGAGCGAAAACCATTTATTTGTAACAAAAGTAAGTACATATCTGCTTTTCTAAGGTAGATTTGGGTGCAATAAGAGGCGAAAAAGCAGATTCTGACAGGAATCTTATCGAAATTGGCAACTATTTGACCCAGAAGGGGGGTGTTACACCGATATCTAATGGTATATAAGAGTTTTAATTACTATAATGCTGGAAGACGGCAATTTTGACTGGTATTTGAAACATATTGACAACAAAAGGTAACTGTTTGGATCAAAAAATGATAGATTGAGCTGATATCTATGTCGTTCTGGGAACCAAATGGACTCGATATTGATATTGGGATTCCCCGAAGCGCTAGGTATCGTATTCGGATATCCTTTGAAGAGACAAGTCCCCTAATTTTCACTACAACATTCCGCGACGTATAGCGTCATTACGTGTTTTTGTTTCAGTTTAAGAAGAGGGCCGGGCGCCAATGTTCAAGATAGTAGCGGATACTCGTCTTTGCACCACGCAGCTCTTAACGGTCATACGTAAGCATCACCTTTGTCGGATGTGCTCTGTGTGCACCACCTAAATTCTGAATCGTTACAGGGACATCGTGAGGCTCCTCTTGGAAAACGACGCTTCTCCTAATATCGCGGACGGTAAGGGATCGTCCCCATTGCATTTGGCCGCTTGGTCCGGGCATTTGAACATCGTTAAGCTTCTGCTGTCGGGACCGGCGAACTGCAATGTGAACCTAACGGTAACTGTAATAATGCAACGCCCAAGCCATTGTTTAAATATATTTTTTAATAACACACAATAACGCATTTTACCACAAACCGAAACTCGCGCGTTTCGCCAACCAAGTTGGCATCTTCAGGAGAAGATTAAAACTAAACTTAATAACAAATCCTCTCTATATATATACACATCGGGAAGTGGGAGAGGGGATTACGCACTGTTCACGCAACCAATCAGCGCGTATAATGGGCTAAATGGGATTGGACCTCTGTCCTTGTTCAGTGCCTTATTCTCTCTCTTAACAATTTCTAAGCTTTCGTAGGCATCTAATTTTCAACTATTATTTACCCGTTTAACTAATTTTAAATTACTTATATCTACCTTATGATTATTGTTGAACATATGTTCGGCTACACTTGAAAACTCTATCAACTCCACTTGTATGTTGGGGAGAGAAGGGAATTGAGACTACTTTTAAATTTTCCTTATCAGCTTGATAAGTCGTTGATTTTTGAAGTTTGTTTTTAAATCTAAATTTCCTAATTAACTTATCGATAAAACTATCTTCATAGCCATTGATTCTAGCCACCTTTTTTATAAGGCTTCTTTCCACCTCAAACCTTTCTTGATTTAAAGGAAATGTGACAAGTCTATGGACTAGAAAATTAAAACTTGCCATTTTATGTTGAAAAAGCATGGTTAGAATCATTGGTTATGTATCTTAAAGTACTAGTGTCTTTCCTATAAATGTACTGTCTATTTCATATGTGAATTTAATAGGTGGGAAGTAATTATTCAAATTTGAAACAAAGTCATTTAAATCCATGCAAGTTGTATCAAAAACCGCGAAAACATCGTCGACGTATCTATACCATATCCTAGGAAAGTACTCGAAATTTTCTTTAGCGTTGTGTTCAAACTGATGCATGAAAAGTTCAGCCAGGAAAAGAGATAAACAATTTCCAATGGCCGAGCCATTTTCTTGTTCATAATAGTTGTTATTATATGAAAAATATTTTGACTCATGCAAAGCTTCATCAGAGTGATTAGCTCTTCAATTATATCTTTACTGTAGTTATTATGTTCGAGTAATTTCCTGAGGTATTCCAAAGTTTCTGGTATAGGAACGCTTGGAAATAATGAGGAAACATCAAAAGATACTAAAAGTTCATGTTCATTTAGCATTACGTCTTTGATTTTACCAATAAACTCTTGCGAGTTTTTTACAGAAAAACTTTCTTTTTGATGTTTTAAATTTCCAAGTTCTGCAACCAACCACTTTGAAATATTATATGTTGGAGAACCTATAGGTTTATGAACCAAGCAAATACTTGCAAAGGTTCCTAATCCTTTCGTCTAGCGGATTGCAATTTTTTATTATTTTTTGGATATTTTACCATTACGCCAAGCAGCTACTTTTTAATATTTTGTATAGAAAATTGTAGATTGTAAATTAATTTTGTTACTTACACTTGAGTTACGTTATTGCTGGTCTAGCAGTATATGGGCAAATATTATTTTTTGCACAATATTTAGTTCTTTTTCATAAAGAATGATGAATGAATGAATGAAGATGGTGGGTCCTAAAAAATTTTTTATTTGTGAAAGTTTTGGCTTTACAGAATTTTTTTCAGGGAAATTCAAATATGAAATGTTATCAGTTCTAGCGTTTTAAAATAATGGTAGTAGCCCGGAAATCAAAGAAGAACACAAAAAATGATACTTGGGATACTTGGAAAAATTGCTTGGATACAATATAGATAAATTTTATTTCGACGATAATATTGAAATAAAGCACAGGGAATTGTCTCAAAAAATTAAATTATTAACGAACATCTATCTTGGCATCAAATTTTGTAGTTGTCAGGAAAAAGTTTTAAAAAAATTGTGGGCTACCCTGTTATCATCCATCTTTGCATAAGCGTTACAAATATATCATTCATTTAATTTGTAGTTTGAGGAAATTTTCGAATGAACACTCAACCAACCGTCTTTTCTGAAATACTTATCACTCACGAACTTTGCTCGTTGCCTTGTCTCTTTAAAAATGCTCTTGCGAGATGAAGTTCGGATCTAATTCGAACTCTGCCAATTACTTAACAACCTGACGGATGCAAGGTAGCGCGGAAAAGGTCCCGCAAGTTTGCATTATATAAAACTTTCCCGAAGGGAACAAACAGGAAACGGCACTACTTACCGTTCGGTCCTCCAGCGTGCGAAAACTTTGAATATCAAATTCGGATTATAGAATTTCAAAAGGAACCGCGGCAAACTTGTAACGGCAACTTTGAAGTTCCATCGTAACGTTACGATTGCGGTGTAGCTGATATTTTTTGATTTTCAAAAGGCCCTTTCTAACGTTTATATGTCCCCTTTTACAACGAACCTAGTTGCCTTTCGGTTTCCAGTTTCCAGGATTTTTCTATTTGCAGCCAGCGCTTTTCTATCGTCTCTCGTTCGGGTACATGGGCCAGATCGTTTGGTTAGTTTGGCAGTTATTCCGAATTGGTCATTTTTTTACTCTTTTTACTCCAGGGTTACTTTCACAATAATAAACGTTCGGATTTATTTTATTTGCCACTTGAAAAAGTGACTTTTTCTACGGTCTTTAGTTTTTGGGTACATTTTTGCAAAACAACCCAAATAAATCAGAATTGACAAAAGTCAAAATTCAATGTCCCGGAAATATCCGAAGTGGCCCGCAGGCCTGGGATATCAAATAATTGGGTTTTCTAGAGAAGGGAGTAGAAAAAAATATTATTTACTATAGTTTATATTAAAATGTTTCCACAAAATGTCCCCATTTTTTAGTTTAAGTTGTTTTATAGTGACCTACGCAACTTTGTACTACTTGACTTTAACTTATAACTATAAATGTAACTTCAGAACATGAATTTAGGTTTCCAGTATGACCGTGGTAAGTTTACATTTACATATTGTTTCACGGATATCAGAAAACACAAATTATTTAAAAAAAAAACGTTCTACTAGAAATCTAAAAGATAATATTTTTCCGAATTAGAATATCGGAAAGAAAAGCGAATATAAATTAGGCACAAACATATTAAATGCGTATTTAAAATTCTGACCTTTATCTTAAAAAACAAAATTTTGAAATGAAATTTGAAGAACGTCATTTTATTTCCGTTAACAAGTTGCCAATTTTTCAATTTGCCCATTATAGCTCAGAAATTAAAAGGGATATTCAAAATCTGATTATACCAATTTGTAACGTCTCAAAAAAGTAATGTGTAAACAGCATTTTGGTATCTCCAATAATAGGGGCAATAATAAGGAAGTGGAGTGGTATTATTGACCGTCCTCATCTTTCGTATGATTTTTATATTAATTCAAATAAATAACCACCCGATTTGGACTAGGGGACCGTGCTCTTGGCGTCCGACTATAAACACGACCCCCCTATGCAATCCAATTGGACATTATCCGACAACATTACTCCGAAATTCTCCACCACGCGCGCTTAACGTCCCCAAAGTCCTTCGTCGTCTCAAAGCCATTGTCGGCCCGATAATGATTAATTTGGACAAAAGGACCCCCACAATACCAATTTACTTCGATTGGCCATTTGAAGTCAAACGTACGGTAACACGGCCCATTAACAAATGTATATACCCGGAACGTATTATCTACGTGCGCCCGTACCAGAAAATTAATTAGACACTTTAATCCCGTACCATTGAGCCGGGTCCGTCGACGTGACCACTCGCTTGGTTAGTTTACAATTACTCAATTGTAAAAATTTTCTGCATAATAATGGAATGGACATTGAATATTTCTCTGTCATTCATATGGCCTGTGTACGTACCTGTTGTTTTTTATTTGCGATGCTGTATTTTATTCTTTTTTATCTTTGTTTTCTTTATTGATATATTCATATTCTCCAGTGGTCTAAATTGTTGCGGTCTCTTTCCATTGTATAAAACTCTCTTGCTTCGGCATTCGTTCTAAGCGGCTAAACCACCTAAGCTGATCTTATCGCATTTTCCCAGCTGTATTCTTTTTCTTGTTCCATATTTGCAATATCGCCTAACCGTGTTATTCCTGGTGACCTTCTAAAATAGTCCATTTGCACTTTCAGTAATGTTCGGTACATAGCCAAACTTTATTGAGTGTTTTTCGTATCTTTTAATATTTTTCCCCACAGGGCGCAAATAATTTTTTTCTGTTTTTTTAATGCATTCCTTTTCACACCTTCCCTTGCTAGCAATCTTTACTCCCATATGCCTGTTTTCTTTGTTGGTCATTCAATATCTCTTTGTCCTCCAACATAATATTTGATCTCGGACATGTTAACTTGTAGTCCCAATTTCTCCAATGCTACTTACTATTAGTTTCCCATTCATGTATTTCAGGTATTCCTTGTCATGTGCAATAATCATTAATTGGGCTTCTGTGATATGACTCAATCTCTTCTTTATGTTAAACGGTTCTTCTAAAGTTTAACCAATTAGTATAGTATCTATAGTATAGTCTAGATAATAATATATAATAGATAATAAATACATAGTTAGTAAGAAAATACGGCACGGTATATTTACTTAGACAAAGGACGACGAGACTGCACTTCATTGCGCCGCACAATATGGCCACACGGCGGTGGTCAGCGTCCTCTTGGAGCACGCTTGCGATCCGGGCATCCGGAACTGTCGGGGCGAGACTGCTTTGGAATTGGCGTCGCAATACGGAAGGTAAAACGGCTCAGCGTCAGTTACTTTTGATCTATAATTAATCGGAACTCGGTCGTTTCAGGCTGGAGACCGTCGAGCTGCTGGTCAGGACGGATCCGATGCTGATTCAGTGTCTGAAAAGGACGACGCCGGACACTATATTCCCCCACACCCCTTTGCATTTGGCGAGCCGAAACGGCCACAAGTAAGTCGTTTTCTGCTCTGAGAGGAATTTGAAATAAAGGTCGGCGGCAATACGATGGGCCTCAAAAAATCCGTAACAATTTTATTTCATGGGAATGCGTTTTTATTGGAACGCCGACATTGAAAAATACTGGAAAAATGTTTTCCTTTGTCACTGGTTTTCAGATCATTTCATCTCATACAAAAAACGCAGAAATTTTTGAAACTCGGTAAACATGAAAACAACCATAAGACAAACAGATTGGGATTTTTATGCGTTTTATGTGTTAAGAGAGCGGGATTTGACTATGACCAATTTTCGACAGGGGACTCCTCGGATCCTTGAGACTTATTAGGCAACGATTTTATTACATTTTGAGAACTACAAACCAAAAATTTTCGCCAAACCTGGTTTGTCGTAATGAAGCCTTTTGCATATTTTATTGTTATTCTCCCTTCAATATCATTAACTAAAAACTCAGCTTCATCGCCCCATGGTAGAAAACTCCCTAATCGAACATGATCTACAAAAACAACAATTATATTGAAGAAGTATTTAATTAAGATCTTTGACGTTCGTACTTTTGCAAAGAACCAACTGAAGTAATTTAATGCGCGTAGATAAGCGCTCCTTTGGTGCAGAAATGATCAGCGTTGAAAAAAAAGATTTTTTTGCCTGTCCGTTCTCCGTTCTCTGTTCCAGGTTTTTTCGACGATAATTTCCGAACGGTTTGAGATACACGTTTCAAATTTTGCTCCTTTTTAACCGTCCAAAAGACATCTAAAAATGGCTGCGTTCGATGTTCGGCATGCACCTTTTTTTTTATTTTCCACTGTTTTTTTCGACGTTGCTATGAAACATGATAAGTGTCCGAAATTTGAAACTATCGACTTCATATTTGGCAGACGGGTAGAAGTCCACACCCGCATTTCATCTGTTGAAAAAGGACGTACTCAAATCTCGCAAAGTATATTTTTGAATTGTTGAAAATTTTTTTTTTGGTATATTTTGACTTCAGTAGAAAAAAATAATTTTCTACAAAACTATTAACCCGGTCGGCCAAATTTATGAACCGGGAAATGCAGGAGATCCGGGACTATAACCTTTATTTCGGACATTTTTTCCATTATATACAGGGTTTTTCAATTATAGACAAAAATCTAAAAGACTATGAAAATTGTTCTTTTTGCAATAAAATTATTAGCCGTAAATCAAAATTTGTGAAAAATATGGCCAATTGGTTTAAATTTTCATTAACTCTGAGAGAATAACAATGCCAAGTAATCTGGATATCCGGAATCTTACACCGTGACGTCGTCCGTATTGGAGCGTTTTTAGGATGCGATGTTTTACACTTTTAATAATATGCGTCTCTTTTCCTCTTAAGGTGGAGGGGAGACCAAAGCAATCCTACTATACTTTGCTCACTTTGCTACCGAATGAAAGCAGTAGGTATAGGGCCCAAGCAGCTCAGTTTCTCAAAATATGGGCGGGGCATAGAAAATAAATAAATAAAAGGTTGGAAACCGGGGCGCCAGCTAGGACAGTACCCCCAACCTATACTATAATTTAGTGATAGTGACTAGTGTCCTTGCTCACTAGCCACCAAACAAACTCACAAAGTTAACAAAGCTCTAGGCAAATAAATAATAAATAAATAGGACAGGCACGTCAGTTTAAATCTCCATATATTGGCTACTGGGCCAGATTCTCAATCACAGAATATAAGCAAATTACATTAGACCAGGAGCTCCAAAAATAAATAGCTTATCTGTGACCCTCCAGTTACCAGCAACGAACGAGTGGGGCAAGCTCTAGGGCAGCTGTTCTGTATACTGCCTACGGATTCACCAGTCAGTGGGATAGGCACGAATGCTTATCACTCTTGGACGAGGAAATATGCACCGCAACGTCCGGAACCGAGTTAACTTGAAGACTCGGTAATTCTTGGGTTGCAGCATTCAAAACACGTGCCGTCCACGAAGGGAAAGTGGCACCAAATCCAAATGAACCGGAACTAGGGAACCCGGTACCACATGGGAAACCCAAACCAGACCAACAATCAAAAACCGGTACCAAAAGAAAAACCAAAACAAAAACCGCCTGATGATCGTGGGTGGCGCTGAAGAGTGCCAGGTGCTAGGTTGGTTAGCTTTAATGTTGGGGACGTCCAAGCAAAATACTACCAACAAAACGACGATCCGCAACTTCTATACGATTTCAATCCGGTTTAATCCTCGAAAACTACGAGATGCCACAAACTTATTCGGATTGAAATCTTGCAACCACTTGCACCGACGGAAATCGTAAAGCCAAAGAAAAGAAAGACCGATGAAGTTTCACAAAGTTCCAAAAAAAAGACCGATGGACACGATGTTAGGTTGCGACATCACTAGGGTCAATGGGCCAATAATGACAGGACTTCATCAACGCACGGAGACCAAATATTACCTAACTACTACCCGCTATTATCAATAATAACCAATTATTACACACACTTGAACGAGATTCCAGAGTAACATCTTAGGAAATCGAAGACGAACGTGGGCCAAAGGTCGAGTGCTTAACTGTACTACATTCGCGTTGACAGAGGATTGAAATATAACCTCTCCAAAAAGCAACAAGTGTAAATAAATGAAAACAAGGGACAAGAATAGGAATTGCCGTTAGTTCGGAAATAAGATATAATAACCGCATTCCGCAGCAACATCCTAAATTGCAGCAAAAATGCAAGGGCTTACACTTATTTATATTTATTTTAGGGCAGGCAAACCACACCAAGCAATTAAGCAATTACACTGTGTTCGAACAGAATGAAGTAGTGAAGAATAATTAGCAATACCAGTAGTTTTGATGATTAAGACAGTGTGTAATTGTGAGAATAAAACATTCGATAGGTAAGTCTCCGAGCGTTATTAACACCTACATGTGAGAAACATAAGTCGAAGTAGCCAATGACAAATTGAACCCGTTACAAATAATACTAGAAAAATGCTATTTGGAAAGACAAATTTGGAAAATTTGCTGCCCTGGGACCGATAAGAGTGGAACCGAGCCGTAACAAGTGCCGGGCCGACAACGTCCAGATTAACGGTATAATTAATTAGCATCGAAAGGCCAGACAAAGAGTTTTTGATGCGAAATATAATTTCGACCGCTCCCCTCCCGCTGGCGCCCCTTTCGATAATAAAATAACGCGTTATCAGCGCATTCGGGTCGGCAACCTAATAATGATAAGGTGGCGTGAAACGCGAGCCAATTAACGACGCAAATGACCATTAATTGATTGGCCCACAGACTCTCCCCCCCTACCGAAACGGCAAAATGAGCATACGGAGGATCGTATTAGGGGCTCGTTCGCTTAGCGGGGCAGTAATACCGTCCCCCCTTTACTGTTGGCCGAGGGGGGGGTTCTCACAAAGCCACTGGGGGCGGCACGGCGGGGTGTTTCCGTGCAACAGCTTGTTTGCTGCATATACCTGTGAAATATATCAATGCGCCACCCGATTTCGAACCGTATCCGGTAGAATGGTTTCTTTACACATCGATGCTTATTACCGGGGCGCACGTATATATAGTATGCGCGCCGTGTATGTATATATATAAACACACGGATTTGTAGATATCTGTGTCATTATCCGCGGTGCATGTGTTGTTTATTCTGCATCAACCGGCGACGCTGTGTGCAATAATTGACGATGCTCGTTTGGAGTGCGAGGCACCGGCAAATTGGAAAATTTCCGGGAAGTCTGTGTATAAGCGAGGCGTCGCGGCGCGGCGGCGGTCGCCGTATCGGGGCGGTCGGAGATGGCGAGCAAAAAAAAGGCCGCCCGGCCGCATCAATTTTATTGAATTTTATCGAATTGGAAGGGAGGGAAATCTTTTAATCTACAGCCCAAACATTCAAAGGTTCATTTTTATTTAAGCAAATAGTTTCAAATTTGCTGATAATATGATGTTATCGGTATCGCGCTCCTCACTAAACTCGAGATCTCGGTAACGATAGGTCTTAGAGGACCGCCATTGGTGCAGAAATGATCAGCGTTGAAAAAAAAAGATTTTTTTGCCTGCCCGTTCTCCGTTCTCTGTTTCAGGGTTTTTCGACGATAATTGCCGAACCGTTTGAGATACACGTTTCAAATTTTGCTTCTTTTCAACCGTCCACGGGATGCAAAAGACATCTAAAAATGGCTGCGTTCAAGCTTCGGTGTGCATCGTTTTTTTTTGCTTTTCTACTGTTTTTTTGGACGTTGCTATGAAACATGATAAGTGTCCGAAATTTGAAGCTATCGACTTCAAATTTGGCAGGCGAATAACGTTTGGTCTCCTAACGGAACCTATTGAAATTGCGGGGGTTGGGGGTCGCGAAGTATTAAAAAAATAAATAAAAATAGTGTTTGCAGGGGTCCAAACAAAAAACATTTGAAAACATTGAATATGAAGACGCATAAGATTCGCCTCCATAAAATTTTATACCCGAAAATTTTTCAAAAATGTACAGGGTGAGCCGCAATTTCAAAAAAACTGAAAAATGGGTCCCCCTATTATTAAAAATTGGCTAGAACTGAAAGACTGTGCTTCGGATGTCAGTCCGTTTTACATGGCGACATTGCCCGCATAAATAGCAAAAACTTTTGTATTTAAGGTTTGCACCTGTTGTACAGGGTGTTCAAGATATTAAGTGCTATATTCTGAAATTAACATGTGTCTTAAATTTTCAGCTATCGACTTCATATTTGGCAGACGGGTAGAAGTCTACACCCGCATTTCCTCTGTTTCATCTCAAATGTCGCAAAGTCTTTTTTTTGAAATTGTTGAAAATTTTTTTGGGTATATTTTGACTTCAGCAAAAAAAAATATTTTTCTACAAAACTATTAACCCGGCCGGCAAAATTTATGAACCAGGAAATGCAGGAGATCCGGGACCATAACCTTCATTTCGGGCATTTTTTCCATTATATACAGGGTTTTTCAATTATAGACAAAAATATGGTCAATTGGTTTAAACATTGTTATAGGGCACATCGAAAGCTACAAGTTTTGTATTTACTGTTTTCGTATATATTTGGAAAAATCCAAATGAAAATCACCATTTCTCGCCCTCAATCTAGACGCGATTGTACCACGTACTGTATGATTTCAGGAAACAAGTATTTTCTTGAAAACCACTTACTCCATTGAAAAAAGTCATATCATATCATAAACATAACAAAAACAAAAAAAAATGTTTTTGTGGGTAAATTATTGGGAATAAATGAAAAACGGCCAAAGATGCGATAATTTAATTTGAACAGTATCGTAAACTATATCGATAGATAAATTGGTTAAGGCTTTCGCGGCCCGTTGATAAGCTATTATCTTCATTCGGGTTTAAAGACCGTCGTCGATTGGAATTACTTCCTAACGTTTCGCTAGCACGAGTGGCGAGCTTCTTCAGAGGTCCTTCCATCTCCGATGTTGGACGTAGACTCCTGTTTACGTCCAACATCGGAGATGGAAGGACCTCTGAAGAAGCTCGCCACTCGTGCTAGCGAAACGTTAGGAAGTAATTCCAATCGACGACGGCCTTTAAACCCGAATGAAGATAATAGCCTATATCGATAGAGTTTCAGGTTTCGTCAATTATACAGGGCGCGTCTGTTTGACTGTTTTAATAACATTTTAGGGGAATTTACGTAAAGATCGCACTTACAATTAGTGTCATAGCTTGAACAGTCAAAATTATGAATTTTTATTCTTTTCAAGTTTGGAGCACTAGCTGTCCTCATAGAATAAGTAATGAATTGGATTTTGTTCAAATTAAGTAATAGGCTATAATCTAGCCATTTTTTTTATCAGACTCAATAATTCTTCAGCCCTTGCAAAAGTTTCTTTCCAAGTGTTTTCAACGATAATCAATGCCGCATCATCCGCATAGCAGACAATATCTTCGTTCGGTAGAATACAAAATATTTCCTTCATGTATAATGTAGATAAAATATATCCTTTATCCTTATCCTTATTTATTATTTCTGCATGCAATTATAAAAGGTTATGTTTACATTATTTATCATTTGGTGTTTGGTGCATGATGAAAAGTTGAGTTTAAGTGCAGCTGTGGGTGGCGCTTCAAAACTGAGTGGTGTTTGTTTATCCTAAAAAAAGTTTTTAAAAGTTCACCCAGACAAATTGTTCTTAACGATTTTTTTTTTGCAAACATTCCGCCAAATTTAATTACACGTTAGAAAATTACTGAAGGGGATAAGGATTTGTCAAGTTTTTGTTTAAGCACGTCAGAGAGATTAATGAAAAACATAGGTTTTGAACCGATTCGCAATCGAGGTCTCGAAAGTATAATTTTAGAGCGAACAGACATTATTAATAGGTGACACAGGTATTTAAGGTCGATGAAGAAATATCGCCAACAAAATTGTAATATTTAGATTAATTATACTTGGTGTGACACTGTCATAACAGAACACAGAGACACTGTTTCAAAGGATTTCTTAACAAAGAAACGCGATTGTGATTATCATGACGGAATGAACACTGAGCAATGGTTTCCAATTTACCTAACAATCGACAAAATATGTTGTTATGGATAACGCCGAAAATCAATATTGGTTGTTCGAAAAATTATTTGACGATTTCTGCTTCAAATCGGAGTGCACGCACGCAGGAATGAGTATGACAAATGTAAAATTGAAGAAATGGCTGCGAAATATGGGATATATGTTTACCACAGTATTACTGTGAGTTTAACCCTATCGAGATGGTATGGAATCAAGCAATAAATAACTCCGATTTCAATGCACATGTTCGTTCGTTAATTAGAACATGTTACTGAATAAAATAGGAGAAATTATGTTCAACATGTCATAAAAAAAAACGAAAACAAGATGTGGTCCGCTGATAATCTCCAAGACGACGGCGACGTCGATGATTATTAAATTCTGGAGAAAATTCTGAGAGCGACATTGATATTTCCGATCTGGACCAAGAATAAAAATTGTCAGTGGTCAGTGGTCAGTGGTCAGAGGTAAAATTTGGTAAAATGGTGTGTCTCTGTGTGACTTGAACCATACTGAGGGACGCACTAGTTTCAACCTAATTAAGGTAACGTAAAAAAAATCTTACAGCGCGAATCGGTAGCGCGTACGGTGCCGTCAAATAAATCCGACTAATGCGCGCCATACACGGAGAAGGGAACGAGATTTATCGCTTACGAAACGAAATGTCGCATTCCAGATTATAATAGACGCGTTAATAATTATTACATGTTAAACAGGAACATGTTATATTCGCCATCTGATGGCATCTGCATGCAATCCGGTTCATTCGCGCATGATAACCCATACATATTGCATTACGGCGGGGTTGAGTTTCGCCCCCCAGCCCGCCCCTCGTACCACCGCACGGTCCATATCAATAAAACGCAGCTTTGATATGCAGTCGAACTTTTGCGATTCAAAACGGAAAATTTCACTATTAAATTCTACCGCCCGTTCGAGAACGAAGTTTTCGTTATAGCAACCGTTATTGTGGTATAGTCGGTTCAGGATTATAAGAGAGTAATAATGTTGACAGACAGGATTGGCACAAGACGGGACACCTGGAGAATGTGATAAGACATTTAGTGTTAAAGTTATTGTTGACGTCTTCGTTTCGACGACATTTTTATCAGAATAAATTACTGACTTATTACTGACGACAATTGAAGTTTGCAGTATGGATTAAAGCAAACATTTTATGCAGGTTAATACAAATTTAGAGAGATGTTTATTTGAATTTTGTAATACAGGTCATTGCGAATTCGTCTCTGTTACCCTATCATAATTCAGGGACTACCAACTTATGTAACTTCTTCGGTTATTTCATAAATATACAGTATTTTATACAGAATTTTTAGCAGTACAAAGAGAAGACTTTAGAAATAATTGCACAGGTTTGAGTAAATTTAGACTTCTTGGGAAAATAATAATAATAACGTTAATGGTGTTAACGATTAATAATAATAAACATATATTTTTTGAAAAATCTGTTTTTTTGACCTATAAAACGAGCGAACTTTTTTGAATAAATTGAAAGTCATTGGAAAAAAAAAGATTTCAAACGCTATTTTAATCCGGATGGTGCTAATTTAATCTTTAATCAATACTTGATTGATTTTTTTTAATGAAAACTGGCAAACCAAAATTATTTATTAGTAACCACTGTACAAATGATCTTGGGCATAGCAGTTAGATCCTCTAACGGTACTGTTACATCTGTGAAAAAAAAAATTTTGTCCGATTTTTCCCACTGAGCTAAAGGCTAGTGAATGAGCGTATCTAATCACCAATTCCAGGGCCGTAGTGGAAGTACTTCTCCGAGCGGGTTTTAACGTTAACATGCGAACGAAGTCCGGTACCGCACTCCACGAGGCCGCGTTGTGCGGCAAAGTCGAAGTGGTACGGACGCTACTCGAGCACGGCGTCAACACCGCAATCCGCGACTCGAATAATTACACCGTTATGGATTTGTTGAGTCAGTTCAACACTGCGCAGGCGTCGCAAGAGATTATGAACATACTTAAGCGTATGTCTCGTTTTGTGATTGGTGTGTTCTAACGAAGTTCTTACCGAAATCGAAGGCTGGTTGTTTTTTTTTCTTTAAGATGGAGCATACACGTATTGTGGAACTAGGAATAATAATGAATAATAAGGAATAATAAGAATAATGTTAGGTTCAATTTTTATTTAGAAAAACCATTCAAAATTCGCTACTACAACTACATCCTTACATTCATCATTCGGACTGAACAACATCAATTTCTTTGATTGGATTGGTTGTATCATTTTTGACGCACTTCATTGCTCGAAGGAAAAATTGAACTTATCTAGGATCATGGAAGATAAGCACTTAGGTCGCTTAGGATAAGTTGGGGGAAGAAGGAGCACGTTGGTCCGCATTTTCGTTACTTACGTATATTTTGATTTTGATGTCACCAATATGTTTCCTCTGTAACGTCTCAAATGGTCTCGGGCGTGACAACACGTTTACTTTTTGGGACACTTTTTTCGTTCATTTCGCACGGCTTTCTATTTGATTCTTTAGAGTAGGCATCGGCTGTTCGTCAAACTGGTCTGCCGCTAACAGTAGGTCGGTTCGGTAATAACTTCGTTTATTTCCTGTTCGAAATTAAAATAAGCTCGATTCCCAATTAAAGGACACAAACGAGGTCTGCCTTTAGTGGACAGCGACGGAGAGAGCGTGAGTAATCCGTTTCCTCCTGTGCCAAATACTCATTCGGACCTGGGCAGCCCATACGAGAACGTGAGGCCGTCGTCGAAGAACACCAGGTCATCAGTGGGTACGGATTCATCGCCGGGTACTTCTCCTCAAAGGTGGGAGTGCCAGAGGCATCCCTGTCCTCCCGAAGGTTTCGAGGATCGTCGGGTGTCCGGTGTATCCGAAATGTCTGTGTAAGTTTGGTGTGGTTGATAGTAATTGTTAATTAATGAAATTAATGAAAAAGTTGATAGTCCTGGTTTTCCGGGAAAGATTTTTCGCTGTTTTTCTTTTTTTTTTACTTCATTATTATGTATTATTTAAATTTGTTTTTTTTTGCATGTCTTTTTTTGTTGGTTTAGCGTCCACGGCAATTTTAGGCATACCCCCTACGAAGACGCATATGTTGACATGACCAATGCGAACATGTAAGCATAGCCATTTGTCCGTTAATTTATTTTTTATATCTACGAAGTAGTTCGGATTTAACCCGGAATTCCTTTTGTTAATTATTAATTTAGAAGTTATTAGTTTTTCGACATTTTTCCCGACTTTTCTTCACACCATTTTTTGACATATTTATAGTGTATCACATAATAATGACCTATTTTGGTGATCGAGAGTAGCAAAACGAACTACTACTTAGACACCGTTTGTCGTTAATGTTCAGTATTCTTATGCATGGTTCGTGTTCTGCTGACAAGACTAATTTTAAAACTTACCCCTTAGTTACCATAATTCCGGTTTAAATTTGATCACGCGATCACTTTGGCTAAGAATGCTAAGAATTTTTTCTCGGATTTGATGAGTGGTCCAACCGGATGACTTACTCTGATTTGAGAGTTGGTGAGAACTACAAGAAAAAGTGGTTGGTTCTTTCTTTCCAGCTTCTTATGTCATTGAAACAGCTTTATATGGAACTAGTATAGGGGCTGTTCAAATGGCCACTTCTTAATTGACTAGTTAAATACGATCAAAATGTTTTAAATTACAATTGTAGAGTGTTATCTATCATTATTTAATAACAATATCTATTTTATAATAATTTTTTATGCGTTTATACCTAGTGCCGTCATCAAGGAATACCTGAATATGATACTTAACGATTCGGGGAATCCCAATAAAAATATCCACTCCATTTAGTTCTCAGAAAGACGCGATAGCGACGTAATGCACAATATAAATAAATAAATATAAATTTCATTGACACAAAAAACTGTGACCGGTTAGTTGCACAAGTTATAACACACTTTTGTTATCCACATTTTCGCGCAGCTTTTACCAGATTTTTCAAATCGGATAATGTGGGTCAGCCGTTTACAGTTGATTTAGAACGATCGCATGAAAGGAAACCTGACATAAATAATTTGCTACCGCAGTGATATGTTTAATGTTGTCTTAGTTGACATTTCGGCCTATATTAAGTCGGCCTGATCTGCTATGAATATCTTTCCAGGAACATTTATTTATGTCTTGGGTTTTAAAAGCGTATTTTTTAACAATCAAAACGATGAAAACATTCTTAGACGAACTGCTATCGTTTCCCCTTTCTGTTCGCATTGCTTTCTTCTTCTATAACGCATATTACATCGCATGTTTTAGACGATCATGTTCCGCCTATAGCAGCGTCCGAAGCTCTAACAACAACACAAAATTCTCTGACACTAGTCTCTCGCCTCTGGACGGGATCGTTTTCAGTTTCGTTGACGACCCATCGAACGAGGACCGTTCCCGCGGGAACGGCGACAGTTTAAACGGTTCCGATTCTTCCAGGGAATCGGACAACAGCTTGTACCATATACCGTGCGCGCCGAAACGCTTCATGGGGTCCAGCGGCCATTCCGAGGACCTCAACTATCTGTGCACGAGTCGGGAGTCCGACCAGATTAGCGTTTCCTCGACCACTTCGAGCTGCGGGTATCCGCGCAGACCTGACAGTGGCGGGATACCACTTTATATACCCATGAACAACCCCAGGGGCGCCCACAGTCCTGGGTCAAGCAGCAAAGTATCGGTATGACCCGTTCCGTTTGAAAATTTGTCGCCTGGGTAGACGAGGTCGGCCAAAATGTATAGACCTGCACTTAGGTCCTCCCTCGCCACTCAAGTTAGGCACCTTATCTTCATCTTAACAGACAATATCCACGTGCAAAATCTTCCATTCTATGCTCAATACTTCGTTATTTCCAAGTTATCAGGAGCTGGTACCTGATTCTTCTTCCTTCCTATTTAGCCGACGCCCCCCAAAAAGCCCCCGAGACGTACCGTGACGATATCTCCGACACACCCCCAGCCGATGTCCGCTTCGGTGGACGGAGTGAGCAACAGCGCATACGAGTACCTCTTCCTCGCGCATAGCGGCACCAGGAGTCAAAGCAATCTGACCGATTTCGAAAAGGAAAGTCGACGAGAGCGTCTATCTTACGGTCGCAGCGTCGATCAATACGTCGAAATGAACGTCTTCAATATCGCGCTGGACGATGATCTCCCCGAAAGACCACGAAGCGAGTTGCAGAGAGGCAAAAGCGAAGACTTGGATAGCCGCAAGGGCAAGGAGCCGGTCGCCATCACTTCCCTGTACGAGAATATGATTGTGAAACAGCAAAATCCGCGGAGGAAGTTGAGGAGGAACAACGACGTGTACGAGGAGTGTAACTTCAAACGGAAAGGTGACGAGGAGGCAGCTAGTTCGTCCGCACCCGAGACCACGTTCGTGTCTAGCGCGTTTATAATGGTCACCGATAACAGCGACAGTGGCGATGGCAAGAAGAAGACGAAAGGGGGTGAGAAAAACGGCGTCTCAGACCGTTACCCCCTGTCCCCGACTCATTACAATCAGCCCCCCACTCCCGAGCACCCGCCACCGTCCGCGATACAAGCGGAAAGTATTATCTACGAGAAAATTCGTCCGCTTAGTCAGGTGAGCATCTCGAATTGATTTCCGCCGAAAATTAGATTTTTTTTTAATTACGTATACACTTTTCGCGTGCATTAAATAGCGTAACACGTCAGTATTAGTCGTTTTCATTTTACTAAACTTTTTTTTTAATCGTTAGGCGGTACAATAGTTTTTAAGTGTCCGCGACGACATCGATATTTGTACATATTATTATATTTTCTTTTGTTATTGTTTTAGTATTTTATGTATTGTTGCGTAATAGATATTTTAGTATGGTTTTTGTTTTTTTTTTCGATGCTTTTCACCCCTTACTTTTTTGCAAAATGTATTTGGCGGCTAAGGAAAGTTTTAAACCGTATGTTTTGTTTCATCTTATAAAAAAAATATTCGATTGAAATGTTTGTTAAGCAACTTCTTGTTAACCAAAAAGTTGCCTAGAACAACCGAGTTCGATTTGTTTTGTTTGTTGTTCTCTACCCGACGACTTACATGCGTCGGGCACGGGGAGTGGGAGTAGTTGAAGCGCGCATGTATTTACTCTACTTTTAATTATTCGCGAAATAGAGAACTTGATCATTTTTTTAAATTTCTTTAATACGTTTGTTTATGTATAGAAATAACGCATACCAAATATCAAAACTCAAAACCCAATATTTAAGTTGCAATAAAGAATTCAAGTTGGACACTAAACGTGCGGGAATGATCGTGACGTCACACCGCTGTTTTCGATCGATACGGCGACATGTTATCGTGTTATTCTCAGGTTATGTAGATTTATTATTTACGTTGATTTTTGGCTCGTGTAAAAGTTTGTTTGTAATTAATGTACGCCAGTTTGTATTTGTGCTTAGTGTGGTCTACATGATAATAATGGAAGCAACACAAAAACACCAGATAAACTTTTTATTTGTGTACCACAAAGTAAAAGCCGCCGTTTTTTGTTAACGTCACGTTGAAGTGTTACTTTACGTAGCCTGAACCGTGCAAACTCTTCGAATTTGCACCCACCCTATTGCAATCTTCAGAGGAATGGCTTCCTGGTTTGTATAAAATAAAGAACACTTTAACTTATCAATCAACTTATCAACGCCATTATACTTTAAAATCAGTATTTAAGTTTCCACTAGTGCAAAAAAAATCCTTTTTGTTTTTTTCTGTTGAATAATTTACTTTTTATTTGATATTCCATTTGAATTTTCAAAATTAGAAAACTTTAAGTTTTATTATATATTTGATTATATTATATTCGTTTAAAACTAGTGGCTAAATTTTCTATGAACATACCTTTAAGCTTTAGTAACACCATATGTAAGATGTGTCACCATAAACCCACTAAAGGTAAATTATCAGATTGACCTTTTAAAAAATCGGCTTCGGTCATTTTCAAAACTTTTTTGATACTAAACACAAGATAACAAAAGCAGTCGACAGGATCAAGACTAAAATTAAAATTAAAACCACCAAGACGAACGCGTTGTCGTTCTTTATTCTACCGTCCGGCTGGTCCGCAGTCTAACGAGCGAATTGACGTCACGACCGGTCACAGCCAATGATAGCGCGTTTCAAAGAGGATTTAAATTTTATAATTTTTAGTTGTTTATATTTGCTGTATAGAACTACGAAATTATTTTTTTGTGAACTCTGGTTCTTTTAATAGTATAAACTTACTTTTATAAGCAATATATTTTAAATGAAAATTTTGTTCAAGTTCGCTATTGTCTATATACTGGGTGTTATTCGAAAGTTCTGTATAGAAGTCTACCACATATTCTCGCAACGAAAATAAATTAAGTTGAATTAAATCGTTTTTATTGTATTCTTTTGGCAAGCAGTCAATTTTGGTTAGTTCTTATAAACTCAGATTTCTATAAAAAAATAATGAAGAAAATTCACTAAAATAACCAACATAATCTATTTTCTATGGATTATATGGGAGGATTCTGTACAGATCCTTCACGGATACCTTGTATAACATATATCACCGTTCAAAATGCTGCCGCCCACCAGGAGTATAAAAGAAGGTCCAGAGATATGGAAACGGAAACGGAAGAGGAATATTTGTTGGTGGGAGATTTCGAGTCCAGTGGTAGTTTTTCAAGCAGCATTTCCCTTTCCGACCGAAGCGTCGATAATATTCTAGAGGAGTGCCATTCGGATACTCCGTTTTCAGGTTTGTATGCGATATTAGTGTACAGTGTAAACAGGACAATTACCCTCCATCGACTCTTCGTTACATAACATAATAAAAAATTATTTCAAATACTATTTTCATAAAAAAAGTAATATTCTACAATTTTATATTCTAAGAATATATTTTTTAATTAATGCTTTTTAAAGCAAACAAAAAATATATAGTTTGCTCTGCTGAGGAAACGTTAATAATTGAGATCTAGTTAACTTTTGCAACCAAATTAGACAACAATAAACCAACAACATTGTCAGTTCCTTTTTGCCAGGTAAACTTAGGTCTCCTCTTAGTTGGTTGGAGAGTTGGTAATTTATATCTTTTTTAAATCACCTCTATTACCTCTACCGCACCTCTACATTGCGCACACTATTTACGGTGTCTTTCTTCTGCTATTTTCTTATAATTTGGTTTTCTGGGTTGTTTTAACCCACCATAGCTGTCCATTTAATCCCTCGATTTTCAATTCGTAGTTCTAGCGGCGGAGTTAGCTCTTGCACATTCCCCCTTGTAACATTCCCTTGTTTTGTAAGGAATCAGTCTTTTACGGGTTTGTTGCTTGCTCGTTGCTCGAACTCGAATGCCCTTGAAACCCATTCTTCGGTTGGTGTGCTTCCAGGACTGATCAAAGGTTCTTCTTCGGGGGTCCTTGAAAATTTGAACATGAATATTCCGGCGGTGCGTCCGAAAACTTTAAAAAAACTAAAACGCGTGTACGAACACGGAAACAGCGACGCCTCGAAGAGCGATAACGAGGTGTCGTCGAGTTCTGAGAAAGAGTCAGACAATAAGGAAAACAGGGATAGGGTTTCGGCTCTCAGTCCATTTGACGAGCAAGAAGAATGGGCGAAGATACAAGAAATAATGGCCTCGTTCGGCACTGGCATTGTCAGAGAATCTGTGTTCGTCGCCGAGTTGGAAAAAGAGTTCCAGAATAGGCTGATGACTATCAGCTGTTCGCAAAACAGCTTGAATCGAGTCGGGGGGGCGGTCAGCGTGGAGAAATGGTTGCAGGGTTTGGGAATGGGTGAATACGCGGGCCTGTTCACTTCTGCGGGATTCGACGACATCGGGTTTTTGGTAAGTCGATGTTTTGTATCGAATACAGTGTGGCGAAACTCATTATGGATTCAATTTTGATAAAACTTCAACCAGTTTTTAGATAAATTTGAATTCGAGGTTAAAGGGTAAAAACAACAAATAAAATTGTTGGTGAGAATTTTAATAATAAATATATAGCGAACTCGCTGACGTTTTGCCAATAGTCCTGCTGGCTTCTTCAGAACTTAATCGAGTTCAGATTCAGATTTGCAAGTAGTATTACAATAGCCTGTGGAAGTTTCTTTAAAAAAAATTAAAAATGTAATTGAGTAATTTTGTTCAATATGCAGATTATTTTGCGATTTGCATTGTTAGTTTTTTGTTTGCATCTAATTTCCTTGAGATGCTGTGTTAAGGTTATTTCAAAGGTCTCGTTTTAAGGTTTGCTTTAAACTGTTAAGAAGAATAGCATTGCGTATAGTATTGGATAATATATACAATTATGTTAATGAAACCTTGCCGAAATATAATAGATGGTCTTCTAAACCGCCTACCAATAAAGTCGAATATTTTTGAGTGTGGAACACTTAAATTCAAAAATTTATTTTTTATAATTTAAATATCTATTTAAGAAATTCCTTTGACCAATGAAATGATAAAAAATTAATTAATTAAGTTAAATCAATAACTTAATTAAATTAAAATAATTAATTTAAAATATTTTATTGGTTTTAAAGTATGAAGAATGTATTTAATCAATTTAAGTAATTGCACGCCATTTTTATGGAAAAATATGGAGGTGAATTGAGAAAAATTACATTCGAAGCAATTAATTAAAGTAAATTAACTAAAATAGCATTGCATTTGTTTTTTTAAATGAAAATGTAGGTGCCCGAAAAATTGAAAATAAGATTGGAAGTTTTTCGAAAAAAAAAAAAATTGTACGTACCCAAAATGCACAAAAATATGCCGTCGACAGTTTAAAATGTAAACTTAAGATAAAATTTTGATCGATTTTTAGAATTTTCTAATAATTTTGAGTTAATTGAAACTAAAGCGACCAACAGACTTCGGGCGCAATTTTATATTAAAAATTGTCGACGCCAGAAACCAGTAGCGTTCGCTCTTTCAGAACGGCGTTTTGGAAGAAACCGACCTAACAGACATGGGTGTGTCGAGTCAATCAGATCGTGAAATTATCATAAATGCGATCAAACACCTGCCGTTGAAAGTTCACGAACCTCTACCGACCAATTGCAATAACAACAACGAACAGAACTCTGTAAAACTGTGGTTGAAAAAAATCAACCTCGATCATTATTACGAAACGTTCGACAAACATTTGTACCACGACATGGAGAGGATAAAGAGGATTTGGGACGTGGAATTGTCCGCAGTTTTGGACATTGACAAAATCGGACACCGGAAACGGATTCTGGCTAGCGTCAGTGCCGGCGAGACGGTGACTGCCGGCCCGAAATTGGAAGACTTTAGTTCCGATCTAAATCTATTGGTATAGTAAGGTTCAAATTTTACCATTGATCTTTAAACGGGAATAACATGGTTGCAGAGTCGGCTTGCAAATATCTGTAACGTATTTCTTTATTACTCTAAAAGACTAAGAGATATGTCCGAAATCATCACATCACATTGGTATAAATTTAAAAGATTTTGGTTGAAATAGAAAATTTTTAGGTCGCCGTTTTGTTTACGAAAATATTATAGACAAATAGAATAAATTATTTTAAAAGAAATTAGGACGTGTGTGTCTGATGCCTGGCCTATTAAATGAACAATTATGTTTTTTGTGACAATTTATTACGTTTATTCTCCCTTGGCCCCAAATTTTTCGAAATTAAGAAGCTATGGATATATCTGATCGTTTAGGTATTTATTGTGTAGAAATAATTTTCAATTACTTTTTATTAAATATTATTATTTACTTTATTTCGTATCGCTTTATATAGAGAAATATAAATTTTATTAACAGTTATGGGATTTTTTTCAAAAGGAAATAAAAGACATTGTCCTAAAACTATGTCCGTATCTTTATTTTTATAAATTGTCATTTATAAATATTTATTAAAAGCACTAAAGAATTGTTAAGATTTTTTTATTAAAGCCGAAATTTTTCAAATTTATCCAATAGTGCGCTGCCAAGTTTGGGACATTTTACGTCAACAGGTCAACGGTATAATTCGAATCAAACGATAAACGAATGTTCCATTATGTTCGCGCTACGATTCGTAATTCGCCTTCTAGAAATCGATTAACCAAATGACCAACGACATGCCGTCGCCGTCGTCTCGGTCCAACGGGTCGGTAAACAGCAACACGGGGACGATTCGGCACAGGCACAAAAAGTCGCGGCCGGCCCCTCAACCCCCTGTAAACATTAACAAACCGGAGACAGAAAAGAAATGTTCGGAAATATGCGTGGGTGGCAGCAATTCTATAAAATCGCAATGGAGGCACCAGCCTATTTTATTGATCACCGGGTTCGTCAAGTATTTGGTCAACGTAAGGAGTTTATTTTAATTTTAATAAATTCAACGAATTTAAATGTGAAATCTAAATCGCAATTTAAATTTAAAAGCTTCACTATCGAAAACAATTTTTGGTTAATTAAAAGAAAAATAATCTAAATTTTTTTGGTTAATTTTATATACCTAATTCTAACTACCCACTAGGTATGTTAAAAAAAAAACTGCCCACAAACGCGTTGTTTGTTTTGTTTTCTCATCATTCTCTTCACTTTTTTTTAGTTTGTAATTTCCAAATTGTTATTAATTGGCACTTAATTTTTTACGCACTCGTTCACGCTCTGTATGAAAAAGCCATAAGCGATTGTTTCCATCCAGTATTGGGGTTCGACGACCATTAAAGATTTCAAGGGGACCGATTCGACCAAAAAATCGATCAACAAAGTGTTGCGGTCTAAAGATAAACCGCTAGAGGAAATAACGCTGTCGATATCCTACAAGGGAGTGAAATTTGTCAATCCTTCGACCCAGGTGCGTTTCCTGGCTTTATCTGGGCAATGTCGTATTTTTATACCCCTACAAATTTTTTTCAGGCCACGATTTGTGAACACGAAATCGTAAATATCAACTGCGCTTGTCAGGACGACGAGAGACACTCTTACTTCGCCTACATCACCAAGGACAACGACTTGTTCTACTGCCACGTGTTCGAGGCTTCGTCACCAGTAAGGGTTAACTCACGATGAGGTGTAAAGAAATTAAACTGTCTCTCTGCTCTCTACTATCCCTTAATATTAATCATTTAAACTGTTGTTTCTGCACAACATCACATGTCACGCGTCCCTCCTGTCTTTGGATTTTGTTGACTTACTGGCGGCTCGTTGGTTGCAGGACCACGCGACCGACGTTATTCTCACCCTCGGTCAGGCGTTCGAGCTCGCTTACCAAATGGCCCTGCGGGATCAAGTGAAGGGCAAAGGCCAAAGCCGCGAGAGTCACAAGCCAGCCATCAGCCCCGGATCGGTATCTTCGCATAGTCGCGACTTCAAGCAAGACTCGACCAGAGTCGCTGACGTCAGACTGAATGGACATCCCCTGAAAATGAAACCGCTGACGCTGTCGATCGCTGCAGAACCCGAGGTCTCCGGCACTACGAAGAAGACGCCGACCAAAGTGAGTGTTTCTTCCGATTTTGCCACGTAATCGGGATGTAAACGTCATCATGGTACTTTTCGCGAACATCAGGACATTTTATATTTTGTGACGTCGTCTTCGTTCCAATGGGCCTCTTGCTATATTGAGTCGTATACCTAAGAACGTTGTCAGTTGTTAGTTTCAAATTCGCGGCTTGGTAATGAAACCTGCAGAATAGATAAATAATCAGGAAGCTGATTCAACTGAAAATCCATGACGTTCCACAAATTCGTATTTAGATACAAACTGATCCACACTCACCAATTTTTTATGTTGACATTTTTTGAGGACATCATTACTGTGGAAGGACTAAAGCATCCCACTAATCTTGACCAAACTAACCAAAGCCGGCACTACATCGGCAAGTTTTATCTCTCTTTTTTAGGCAAAGTTAGAGTAATTATTCTGTTCGTTTGTCTATTCTGCGCATTGTTTATTGTCTTTGATAACAGATTTGTTAAAGAATTTGAAACAAGGTATGTTAGCAGCAAGTGGACACTGAAATTGAGTCAAACCTACAAAACCAATGACTCTGTCAAGAGAACTATAAACATTATTTTAGACTATAAAGCAACTTATAGCAAGCGGCGTCAAAAAAGGGTTTTTATTAGGTAAGCTTTATATCTTTTTTTATGATATTGTGCATTATTGACAAAATGACGATGACGAAAAATAAAGAGTATGTTTTTAGTTGTTGTCTCGTCCTGAAAGGCGATAAGTGTCTCTACTATATTTGATATTTTCATTTAGGCATGACATGACAATCTTCTACACCGCCATGTAGGTTAAAAAAATGAAACATGGATTGATTAATGACTTGCTCAAGTGTCAATAACCAATAAGGAAAGATTTCGGAAGATTGGGGGTAAAAATTTTTCATTCTTCAACCGATCGATCTGCGGTAAAATATTACATTTGACCAGAAACCGTTTCTTTTATGATCCGCGGTAATTTCAGTTTGGTACTTTTGAGTTTTTTTTTTATTTTTATATTTAAATAAAATAAAATAAAAATGAAACAACTTACCGGTGTTTTGACACTGTCAAAAGCCACTCGGAGCGAATGGCACTTGTAATTCAAAAAAAAAAAAAATCTCGCTCAATGAACGAAATCGTTTCAGTCTTCAAAATCAGTTGCCAACTTATTAGGAACTCGAACGGGAGCAAGTAACACATTCTCTATAGTTTTGAAAATAGTGTTCGGTAGTATCTGAAATTTGATTCTCGATGAAATCGGTGTAGTGTAAATGTTTCAGAACAAAAGCCTAAAAAAAAAAGAAATTATTTACTTCTAAGTATACGCTTTGTTCGTGATTGAGAAATGAATTTATCTACTCGACAGTGTTAAATTAAGTGTTTAGGTGTCAAATATGAGCTGTAAGCTGCGATTTGAAATTCTATTTGATCATTGAGATTGCCAAACAAAATTTAGGCTTATGTTAGCGTATAACGTGGAGATAAATCGAAAAATCTAATAAAACAAAATCGTTTTAAGAAAATTTATAATGCTTGTTAGTACACGCGCTTGGAAAGTTTATTGTTCGGGCTGATTTTTAATTCGACTGGGTATCGAAGATGACACCCCGGTTTTCGACATTTAAACACTGCCTCTGTGAACATCAATAACTTAAATACATCACATGTACAGTATCCGAGTATAATACGCTTCGCACACTAACAAAATATGCAAACCTCTTCAGCAGTTTATTTTTCGTCCGTAATATTTGCTCAAGAAAGTACCTAATCCACTTTAGGGATCAATGTAGAAAAAGAGTGGACTGCATAATTTTCGTTCCCTTTGGTTGCCATACCACACTGTATCCACCGTAAATCAGTCGATGTTGTATATAATAAATGTTTAGCAGATATTATAGAAGCTTTAAAAATCTACTATACTATATAGCAGGGTTAATACAATAGTATCGTAAAATTCATATTGATTGATGAGTTTTGTATCTTCTGTACTTTTATACTTTAGTGTTTCGTTAGAACTACGCGCGACATTTCAAAAGTAATTTCGCCATTGGAATTGATAAACAAGCCGCCAAGTGCAGCACAGGTATCAGAAGAAAGAAGTCAGTTTTTGCACAATATTTAAGGGTTGTTTATTGATGCCAAGTGGTTTGAGATTTATTTTACGGCCCATGTAAGTTTTGTAACTACACTGTGTGCAACTCATGCCTCATTGTTTCGTTTTTTTGGTTGTCGAAATATTTTTTTGTTAATTGTCCCAAATAAAATTAATAGTAACCACAGTCTGACCGTTTTTTCGCCTTTTACCTATACGAGCTACAGCGCACTGCGCATATGATTATAAAAGAGTATAAAAACGTTTTTGAAAACTTATTCTAGCGTTTTATTTATTACTATTTGACAAATATAAAAAGGATTTAAACTTGAACACACTGTATCTTTTTTAATTTCAACTTTTGAACTAAACACAGTGGAATCGAATTACTTTGAACTAAAAAATAACCTAATATTGCCCCACCAGACATCCTTTACATCGTCAGACCAAAACAAGCTTATCAGCATACAGGGTCACAACATTGTGTGTTTTAATTAAGTAAATATCGACAGGTAAGTAAAGAAAACTTTTTAAATATAATATATTACTAAGATAATGACACAAATAACATAAGTAAGAAGAAAAATAATGTCAAATATTAAACACATATTTTAAACCGCTTAATCTAAAAAGTATAAAAACATGTAATCAAAACAAATTGTATTTGTATTGTATTGTATTTGTCACTTTTCAGTTTTAATAATATAGCAAAAAAAAAAAAATATAAGTTGTACTAAGAGTATCGCCTTTCAGAATGATAAACTATATTGTTTAAAAATAGGTTTTTATATTTATTCTTTGAGAAATTTATAGTATTTGTTTGTAATTAACAAGCGAAAGTACCAGACTGCTTACTTAAAAATAGTATATTATGCAACAAGTGCGGTAAAATCCACTTGAAACGTTTACCAGACGTGTTGTATAATATACTTTTTCTACGACCGTTAGTTTTTAGGCACATTTTGGCAAAACAACACGAATACGTTCACTGACATGAATGTCAGAACTGACAAACGTCAAAATTCAAGGCGTGGGAAATATCTCCGAAAACGTCCGATTGCTCCCAAATGTCCGAAGTGGCTCGGATCCGTGGGAAACGAAACTGACATGCTAAAATGACGCTTCCCGCACACTCGGTGTGTAATTAGATATTTTCCAGACGGGAGTAGAAAAAGAGCTATTTTAACATTTATTTTCCAACATCATCAGCTCATATCTTGTGGTGCAGCATACTTTTACAGAAGCTAACTTCCGGGTACTTCCCGGTATCTGCAGACTTGTTTTGAACGACCTAAAATCACAAAATTTCTCTTAATTCCCTATAAATATTTCCTTAATTTCATAACACCGTAATTTTATTGATGATCTGTAATTAACGTCATATTTCCACTCAGTAATAAAACTCGCCAATGAAATCTCTCTCGCAAATAATCAAAATTAATTAAAAAAAAATATGAGGACCTTGAACAATTGGACATCGGAAGCTTTTCAGCACTTACTTTTCGAAAAGAAAAATCGGAAACTGAACGTACGCTGTGTCACACATATCTCAATTCCCCCTCCCTTTTCGACAAACCGACGACACAATGAGGGCGCCGATCATCTTTTTAACGGAAACATTTTCATCGAGTTAATGAACATCTGCCATCGCATCGTCTATACCGCCATCGCCATATATAGAGCAGCAACAATGGCATCGAGTTCATAAAAGCCACTTTACATCCACGGCTTACCGCACTGGTTACGCATTTATATTCGGCTGACAACAAATACAAATACTTTGACTCGTCTTTCCGTTTAATAAGAGGGACGATCCCGTGTTATCTCACCTGCCCTGGGGGTGCGTTTTTCAATCAGCTCGGAAGTTAGGGCGGAATGGGAGACGACGGTATATCCGAGGGCCCGGATTGCGGGCTTTGCGGCGACGCAGTACATATATATACACGTAAACTCCTGTATATTCGTACGTAAACGTAAAAAAAGTTGTTTGCCTGGTCCTCGGGCGCAGGGCGTTTTAATGAAATCTCGAAACGTATTCCTTAATTTGAATTCGGGCTGCGATTGCCATCCCTCTCTCTCTCTCTTTTTTAACTTTCCAAGTTGCCGTCGGGAAATGAGAAAATGGCGTTATTCAAACGCGCGCCGGCCGAGAAAAATATCTAAACGTTATCAAATTCGTGCGACGGCACACAAAAATAAATGCGTATCATGCATGCGTACATTAGTAAACTTCTTCATTCAACGTGCATAAGAAAATTAAAGAAGTAAGAGGCACAAACACGAAGAGACCTCATAGACTAGACAAACTAAGAAATACATAGAATACCTGCTTGGTGACGTCAGGTTAGAAAATGAACAACATTGTATAACGGGTCCGTCAGATGAAAAAATCTAGTGTCACTTGTCAAATGTCAAAACGAAATCTGTCTATCGGGCATATGAGGCTTAATTGGAATTAATTTCATTATAAGTTGAAACAGACACAATCATTAATTACATTTTTTAATAGATACAAATAGAAAAAAAAATCAGCTTCTCTATATAACGGCTTTGTACCACCACTACTACTACTACTACTACCACTTGACTCGGAATAGGGCTCTACTGAAAGAATCCTCCTTCATACATGAAAATATTTCGACCGATAGCAAGTCATACGTCAATCAGCAACAATAAATTGGTTCGGACCACAGTTGCAGTAGTCTGTGACAAGGAAACCTTAAAACGATTAGTGGCTTGTCCTTGACAAATATTACTTTTGTGTGTGCATCGGTGACCATTGGTAGTAGATGTTTGTCGAGGATGGCGGATACCAGTAAAACAGCAGTAAGAAGTATTCAAAAGTATATTTCATATGTGGGTAATTTAAGCGAATTGCTTTGATTTGTTCTACTCTGCACTTATATTACCCCCCTTATTACTCCATTGGCTTGAGCGCTCAAGACCATTAAATTTCTTGTAACATGCGTAAGTATTCCTATTATGTATTACGTAATTGAATGAGGTTAGTTTGTTAGTAAGCTTTTTTTTGTTTTGTTAATTTTACTAGACATTTACTCTTAACCTAAGGCCCAACATTTTTTTGTAGCTATATTCTTCCGTCGAGGGGTTCATGATCTGTTCTAAGTTTTGCCCAACCCCGCACCAACTGGGTGACCAGGGCAAAACAGGACCTATTCCTGCAATCTTTAACACTTTTCGAGTAGCGAGTTAAAGTTCAGATTTATGGACTGAATAAATTGTAAATAGCGGGCTCCAGTAAGATTTTACTCGAAGAAATAAGGTCCAAAATCTCTGCCCAAACATTATTTTTTTGTGGATATTGTGTATGATTTTCTTTAGTCTATCGGATGTTATGAATTAAAAAAATGGTGCTTTATTTAAACTAGGAACTTGATAACGACTTTTAATTTTTGATCCACCGTACATATAAAATATAAATAATATTATAATAAATTATAAATGCGCAAGAAAAAAATGATTTCTAAATTAAATGAAACTAAATTAAATTTAAGAAATAAGATACCAATGCGAAGAAGGAAAAAGAGTGAAATATTAAGAGAATTGAGGCCATCAGAATTGTTCGAATGTTAAAAAAATGACCCAATATGAAAAAGATCATAGAGAAAAGAATGGGCAGTAGCCTATTAAATTGGTTAACCATATAACAAAGAAGAAGAAGATTTTTATCAGTTTTCTAAAACACTTGAAACAAAAGGAAACATTGTATAGAACCATATTTAGCTCATACACATTGTAAAACCATTTTTATTAATGATTTGATTGATTGAAACGAAATTCGCGACTCTAAGTCCTCAAAAACGTGATGCGTGGCCATCAACATAATTGATTTCTGCATATTGCACGGCGACAGATTTTCGATGGCCCTTACTGTCGACATTCGATCAGCGAAGATTGTTAGGACGAAAACAAACGGATTTGGAGATGAAAACAGTTTGGTTCCAACAATAGCAAACTACTGGGCCTTTGATCGGGCACACAAGTGGCGAGAAATTTCAGCGGCGGCGCCGCACTACGATTTTTTTTTACATGTTCTAAAATTTATCGATAACATTGTCTTGAGTGGTCTCCAGTAATTTTTTCAGTGGATCTGTCAGGTAAGGATTTTTTAGCACACCGTTTGCAACGCGTCGTCTCGGTTGTGAGATGTCCCAAGAACGGAGATACTACGCCGCTGTCATATCCCGCACCCCAATCGCAATTAGGGCCTTCATGACTTGCAATTGCTATTAACTCAATTTTGTCGCGCGTTATTTGCTTGTATTAAGTGCTTGAGTGGGGACCCCTACGTTTGGGGTTGCAGTCGCATTTCTTGGGCAGAGGCTCGAAATTAATGGGAAAATGATTTTTGGGCAATATTTCAACGGCAGTTACTTCACCGAGATGAACGATGTGCAATAACATTGCGTGTTTAAGTGTTTATGGGAGAAAATGAAAGTGAATAAAAATACAGGCGCAGTCATTACAACATTTTCATATAGATGTTTAGATATTTTTTACAGCTAGTTTAAGAATAAGCCCTCAAGTTGGGAAGGTTTTTTGATAGTTATAGTTAGCACTGCACAAGTTTCGTTAGGATCAGGGCATTGGGCCAATATAATTAATTTAACGCCTCTAAGTTGTTTTATTTCAAAAGCAACATTTTCATACTTTTTAAGCCACCACTTCGCCCCTTTTATTTTGATGTTTTTTTCGTATTGGTGGCTAGGATGTCTAGTACACCTTAAATCTGATAACAAAACTAACTAAATGCCTTATTGCTATAGTTCTTCCAAATTTTTGGTTATAATTTTTTCGTGCTTACTTCTAAGGATGTACATCTATCTGTTGGTGAAAATAGTCATTTTTTTTTAAATAAGGATGTCAATTATTCGTATCAGTGCCATCAGTTTCGGGATTTTTTGCGGGGAACAATTTAGAAAATTAATAAAAATTCGTTTGCTGGAGTATATCATACTTATTTTGGCTGCTACATTGAATAAACTTCCTATAGGAAGGTGCGTGGTCTGTGGTCGATTATCTGTGATACGTGTTGTTTCGCGAAAAATCCTGCTCCCCTTATATAATTGGCATTTTAATATGCGATTGTGGATCGACGTAATTAAAAATCGGTCGCCGAACCGATGCCATTGTTTCTTCCGGGCGGGGGTAAAAATACAA